AAGTTCAGCCTTCACATTTGCAACAAGCAATTTTGCAACAAGCTAGGAAAAAAATTCCTTCTTGACCCCAGAATGGCAGTCAGATTTATCCTTGGATCAAGCAGTTATTACCCTACATTGAAAGATTATATCCTTGAATATTCTGTTTTTGCAAGTATGCATCTAGTAGTAGCTGTTTGAACATCTGTATGGACTCTGATAAAACCACTTCTTCAGGCAGAGAATTCCACATCCTGATTGTTCTTACAGTAAAAAAAAACCTTTCCTTTGCCTTAGACAAAATCTTCTTTCTTCCAGTCTAAACACATGGCCTCATGTCCTATGTAAAGTCCGATTTGTGAATAGATTTCCACACAATGGTTTGTATTGGCCCCGAATATATTTGTATAATGTTATCATATCCCCTCTCAGGCAATGTTTTTCTAAACTAAATAGGTTTAAATTTGTTAACCTTTCTTCATAGCTGATATGTTCCATTCCTTTTATTAATTTTGTAGCCCGCCTCTGCATTTTTTTCCTAGTGCCATAATATCCTTCTTTAGAACAGGTGCCCAAAATTGCACAGCATATTCAATATGGGGTCTTACCAGTGATTTATAAAGAGGCAAAATGATATTCTTGTCCCGAGAATGAATGCCCTTTTTCATGCATGACAATACCTTACTGGCCTTGGCCACCGCTGATTGACATTGCACATTGTTGCATAGTTTGTTGTCTATAACAATTCCCAAGTCCTTTTCGTGTGTTGTTATGCCTAATTTGCTTCCATTAAGGGTATACGTTGCTTGTGTATTCTTTACACCGAAGTGCATAACTTTGCATTTTTCACCATTAAATTTCATCTGCCATTTGAGTGCCCAGTCCCCCAGTCTATCTAAATCCCTCTGCAGCAAAGTAATATCTTGCTCACATTGTATTATTTTACAAAGTTTTGTGTCATCTGCAAACACTGAAACATGACTTTCAATGCTGTCTTCGGGATCATTTATAAACATGTTAAATAGAAGGAGTCCCAGAACAGACCCCTGAGGGACACCACTTGCCACCTCTGTCCAGCTTGAAAATTTATCATTAATGACAACTCTTTGTACTCTGTTTTTAAGCCAAAGTTCTACCCAAGAACAAGCATTTTCATCTAGACCGATTTCCTTGAGTTTGAACACTAATCTATTGTGTGGAACTGTATCAAATGCCTTGGCAAAATCCAAATAGATCACATCCACGGCAACACCCTGATCTATATTTCTACTTACTTCTTCGTAGAACGCAATCAAGTTAGTTTGACATGACATGTGCTTCATAAAACCATGCTGATTTTTGCTGATAACCATGTTCTTCTCAAGGAATTCTTGAATATTATCCCTTAATAACCTTTCAAATATTTTCCCAGCCACAGAAGTTAAGCTCATAGGTCTATAATTTCCAGGCAAGGATTTTGAACCCTTTTTGAATATAGGAACCACATCTGCCTTCCTCCAATCCTCCGGAACACTTCCTGAAAGAAAAGAATCTTGAAAGATTAAAACAGAGGTTCACTTATTTCTGCACTTAGTTCCTTAAGTACATGTGGATGGATACCGTCAGGTCCTGGAGCTTTGTTTATATTAACTTTCTTTAGTTGCTGCAGCACCTTGTCTTGAGTTAACCAATTACAATTATTCTGCAAGTTTTTAGTAGCTATCATTTGTACATCTATTGCCATGGGTTCTTCCTTAATATATACGGAGGAGAAATAGTTATTTAAAATTCCTGCCTTTTCCTGGTCTTCATTAATTAACACCCCCGTTTCAGTTTTTAGTGTACCTACACTTTCATTTTGTTTTTTTTTAGAATTTATGTACTTAAAAAATGCTTTGGGGTTGGTTTTGCTCTCTTCAGCTATCATTATTTCATTTTGAAATTTAGCAAGTCTAATTGCCTTTTTGCACTCATTATTTGCATCCTTATATCTTTTATAAGATGCATCCTATTTGTCCGATGTAAATGCTTTAAATGCCCTTTTCTTTGTTGTAATCTCTTGTTTTACTTCTCTACTAAGCCACATTGGTTTTAATTTGTTTCTTTTATATTTATTACCCAACGGTACATACTGAGAAATGTACCTTTCTGATATTTGTTGGAAGATGATCCATTTATCCTCAGTGTTCTTTTCACTAAAGAGTTTATGCCAGTCAATATATTGTAAAGCTTCCCTTAACTTATTGAAATTGGCCTTTTTAAAATTATATGTTTTAGTATTCCCCATGTGCTTTTGTTTTTTGGAGTTTATTTCAAAGGACACTATATTGTGATCACTATTTCCCAAGTGCTCACCTACTTGAATGTTGGTCAAAAGAGCAACGTTGTTTGTTAAAACCAGGTCCAGACAAGCGTCCATTTTAGTTGGTACAAGTTGTGACATGAAGGTGTCATTTAACAAGTTTAAAAACCTAATTCCCTTTGCTGAGCTACTAGTCCGTCTGTCCCAATTTATGTCCGGGTAATTAAAATCTCCAATAATTAAAGTGTTACCCAGCTTTGCAGCTTTCTCAATTTGCTCAAACAGCTGTTGTTCCTCCTCAATATTAACATTAGGTGGTTTATAACATATCCCAACCAATAGTTGTTTTCCCTTCTTTTCCCCAAAGCAGATATTTACCCATAAAGCTTCCACATTTTCCTCATCGCATTCCATTTGCTTAAGATTTGGCTTTAAATCATGTTTGACATACAAACATACCCCACCACCAGTCTTGTTTTTCCTATCCTTCCTAAATTACATGTACCCATTTAAGTTAACTACCCAGTCATGTGTCTCATCCCACCATGTTTCAGTTATGTCTATTATATCATATTGTTTAGTGTATGCTAATGCCTCTAGTTCCCCCATTTTGTTATTTAGGCTCCTTGCATTGGTAAGCATACATTTAATATTATGCATCACTTGTATATTTTGTGAATTATCAACATTACATAGCTTCTCTGTTCTGAGCTTGCCCCTCCCCCCGTCTCCACCCCCCTTATACTGTGCTAAAGCCCATCTCCTTTCTGTCCTATCTCCATTTTGTAGATTGCTATGACCCTCCCCCCCACTACTAGTTTAAAATCTCCTCCAACCTTCTAGCCATCCTATCCCCCAGCACTGCAGACCCTCTCCCGTTTAGGTGCAATCCATCACCACTATAAAGGTTGTACCCAATCGCAAAGTCGGCCCAGTGCTCTAAAAACCCCAAACCCTCCTTCCTGCACCAAGACTTAAGCCACGCATTGACCTCTCTAATCTCCTGCTGCCTTTCCACTGTAGCGCGTGGCACAGGTAATATCTCAGAGAATACCACCTTGGAGGTCCTTTTCTTAAGTTTGCTACCTAATTCCCTGAAATCATTCTTTAGGACCTTCCATCTTCCTCTTACTTTGTCATTGGTACCAACATGGACCATGACCGCTGGGTCATCCCCAGCCCCTCCCAATAATCCATCCACTCTGTCAGCAACATGCCGGACCCGAGCACCTGGGAGACAGCAAACTGTCCGGTTTAGCCTATCAGAGCGGCAGATTGCCCTGTCTGCTCTCCTAATGATAGAGTCCCCTACCACCACAACCTGTCTTGCCTTCCTTACATTTTGATCCCCACCCGTACTAGGGGGGCTGTTAGAAGTAACAGCTTCCTCTAATACAGCTACTCCTGAGCTGATGCTCCCAACATCCCTCAAATGGGCAAATCTGCTAGGTTGCAACAAATCAGGACTAGCTTGCCCTTTCCTCTTCCTTCCCCCCCTGCTTCCTCGCCCCACTGTCACACAACTACATGACTGTTCCCCATCTGTCTTATCTGTTCTTTTAAAACAAAAGTTTTTAATTAGTTCGGACAACAGTACGAGTTGTTTTTTCTAACCTTAAACCTCAGTATTGAGGTTTAATTGCTGTGTTGGCACTTTAAGGAAAAAAAAGTTGGCATGTATTGCGGTTTGGGCACTCGGGCTCAAAAAGGTTCGCCATCACTGCCCTACACAATACTCTGCCATGAGCATCAGGCGAAACTCTGCTAGGTCTACAACATGTGTTTGTTTGAAGCCTGGAAAGCAAATCTTTTGTATAGTATATTGACACATAACACAGCCACACAAGTTACTTCTTCTTGGACACACCCTTTATGCATCCACAATGGCCAGTGGTTGTTGTGCAGGCCCCTAGAAGTGATGAAGCCCTCTGCGAGCCTTGATCTTTTTGAGCATCTCATGATCTTCACATATTTTATCAAGGCCATTAGCCAGGATCTGGCTGTATTTTCCAACCGTAATGTAATTTTGTATGTTCAAGAACCAGTCTGGGGTTTTGCATAATGGTAACAACATATTCAACCTCAACCTCTGTCAGTTCTCCTGCATGCTTTGTCAAATTGATATTAGCCACGTGAGCATAACGATGTCCACCACCCTTAAAGGGACACTATAGTCACCAGAACAACAACAGCTTATTGTAGTTGTGGTGAGTATAATCAGTCCCTTCAGGCTTTTTGCAGTAAACACGGTCTTTTCAATGAAAAGGCAGTGTTTACATTACAGCCTAGGGATACTTACACTGGCCACTACTCAGATGGCTACTAGAGGTGCTTCCTGGGGCAGTGCTGCACACTGCCCACTGTATGGATACACTAAACTTTCCTCATAGAGATGCATTTTTTTCAATTAACCTCTATAAAGAGGTGCTGATTGGACAGGGCTGTGTTTGGCTTGTGTTGGTGCTGCCCCTGATCTGCCTCCTTGATAAGCTCAGCCAATCCAGTGCTTTCCTATTTGAAAGCACTGTGATTGGCATTGATCTGCCAAGCAGGCAGATCAGGGGCAGAGCCAGCAGCAGCAGAATTAAATAAAATTAAGATTTTACTATATTTAGGGAGCAAGTTTTACATTTTACAAGGCTACTTAAAATCACATACTTCAGAAAACATGTATGGGGATTCAGTTCCACCATATTGCTATATTGTGTTAAGCTCCATAAAGGAAATTTTGAAAGTAATACAGAATTTGTCAAACGTTTATTGTAAACTATTTGTACATCACTTTTAGAAGAATACTTGAACAGAGCATAATAGTTTATTGCACATTGGCACACACTCTATACACAAAAAGAAGGGAAGCAAACATCAATCAGAAAGACAAATAAGGACTGAGTCAAAGCAATCTGTATTAATAAGGAATATATAGCGCATGACTAATAAATCCTGTATGTTACTGTACATCCAATCCAACTTACCAAATTAGTCTATGATGACGACTTGCCATTGACTGATGTCAATACAGCCAACAGAGAAACAACCACACATTTAAGAAGTGAATCACATATAGTATTAGAGAGAGCAAGGTTAGAATTAACAGCAAAACATATTTTACTTCTTAGGCTCTTCCATCACAAAAAATACAATTATATGCTTGGGTCCAGAGTCTTCAAGATGCTTAATGCCTGGTTCATAGAATAGAAAGTAAGTAGGTTTTCATTTGACTCTGTCGCATGTTAGATAATCACACAAAAAAAAAAAAATCAACCAAAAAAACATCTGAAATGTTACAGTTCTTCCTTAATGTAAGGAATTGGTTGTTATTAAACATTAAATACAAAAAAAAAAAAAACAACAACAATGGGAAAACCAGACCTCAATACAAGAATAATCTGTCCCTATTCTGTGCTTCTTGGCCATAGCCATAGAACATTTGGGGCATTGATTACAGTTTTTGATGCCTAATTAGTCTCAAGCAATGTGAATTATTGAATCATTAGGTTTCTAGTTGTCATAATTGAGGATAAGTTTATTTCATTCTTCTTCTTATAGAAATATTTATAATCAATGGGCTTCCAAATATGGAAGCCCATTGATTAAATCATGCAATTATATGTTAATATATCCATAACTACTTTAATTATTCTTGGGAAGGAGGGAATTCTTTACAAATCATAAAATATGTATAAGCTGTTTGAACATTTTAAAGGATTTATTGATAAGGAGATACACATGTGCAATTTAAACCTATATAAAAATAAACTCCTAAACAAATTCAATCACTTGCTTTTTACCAAGTTAAAACATAAAAACAAAATGTTTATATGACAATAAATATTATAGTTGAAAACGCCACAAAAAAAAAAAAAAAAGTATAACAACAAAGATATGCGATTATATTCATTTGATAAAAACATAATGATAAGTAAGAATTTTACTTTTCTTACAGGGTTATTCAATAAATTGTGAGTTGTTCGGAATCAATGCGAATTTAAAATTTAGGCCATAGTAGCTGCAATTAAACAAAAAATGCAATGTTTTATTTCAGGTTTTTAAAAAAAATAAAAATAATAAATCTTTATTTTAAAGAATGAGCAAAGCAGACAAACTGTACATCTGTACAATAGCGTAAAATGCTCAAACGTTTAGTACAATTTTTTTTAATTTATTTTTTTTGAAAATTAAATGAGAAAAGATTAATTCAGTGTTTTGGCCTTAGATCTGACAATACACAAAAAGGAGAGGCGAAATTCTTTAGTTACCAGAATAAATCTTACCAGTTTCCCTACGGCGAACCGTTGGATTGGCTGAGATCATCAATGTTGAAACAGAGTCAGGGCCTCTCTACTTAAAAACAGAAATACTTATATTTGTAGAAATAAAGTATATAACTAATATTACCTTTCTGTATTACTGCTTCTAAAACTAGGCAGTAACTCCCTGGAAAAAAATGCTTGCAATTTACTTAACTTTTTGCAATTTCCTTCCAAGTCCATGGAAGGAAAATATTATACAGCTATCTAAAGGTTAGTGGCTAAACTAGTACTTTTGAGTTTTTCAAAAAGACCAAATATATATTAAAATCTTAACAAGGTGCGTAGAGTAATTTAACTGCATTAATTAATTTTTTTTTTGCTTCCATAAAAAGCCAAGTTTAATTATCATTAAAAAAATGTAAAAAATAAATAAAAAAACAAAACAAAAATAAAACACCTGCTTCAATTAATACTTTACTTATTTGCAAAGTGCTTTAACACTTTAACCCCTTCAGGAAAAGAGCAAATTGCTTGTTACCATTGTAAACCTCACATATCACTGGCCCAGAAGGGGTTAAAGTGGAATGTTATTAGCATGATTAATAATCTGCATATTCTTGTTTATATTTTAATGATAATAAAAAGTAGTGAAATATATATTAGAAATAATGTACAACAATAATCAATGTTTAAAATTTTGAAGAAGACATTCAGTTGGGAATGTTTGACCCCTGGAATTTACTTCATACTATAAATTCAGTGGTGGCTTCCAACAATATCCTTAAGAAATCACAATGATCCACATTACTCCAGTATGTCTACAGGAACATTACAGGGAGATCCCAAAATCCTGGCTGACTATGGACTGAGTATGAGATTGGAAATTAGAACATGGAGTGGATCGATGCGTTCCTATCATTGCCTGGTAAAATTGTAATATCCATATTTCGTTAAAGGGACACTATAGGCACCCAGACCACTTTAGCTCATTGAAGTGGTATGGGTGCAGTGCCCCTGTACCCATAACCCTGCAATTGTCATTATTGCTGTTATTGAGAAACTGAAATAATTACCTTGCAGGGCTCACTCCACCTTAAGTAGCTGCCTACTAGACAGCCGCTAGAGGTGCATCTTGGTCCGCTAAACGGCGCGGGATGTCCTTACGCTATGCATGAGGACATCCAGCGTCATTTAGTCAATGCTTTCCTATGGGGAAGTTCTAATGTGACTGTGGCGCTCGCTGTACATGCGCAATTAGGTCCCCCACGTCGGCTGAGTCTGACCCCGTTTCAATGGACATCAGCACTTCAGGTAAGTGACAAAAGGGTTTTTAACCCTGTCTGCATTCCTAGCTATAGTCACCCTTCAGCCTTGGTGTAAACCGACACTGCACTAACAATATATAGCATATCATAATTATTTGTTTATGGAGTCAAGAAGGAGAAACTATAGATCTACAAAATAAAAGATTAGTGATAAGATTAATAGTACAAATTTAAGTAAGCGTCTCTTCGTCCGTAATACAGCAGAATGTTTATAGACGTCATGCTTTGTTACGGAAATATCCAGTACTATTGATCATGCTACTAACAGAGTGTAAACTTGTTATTACAAATTATCAGCTGTGCTTATGGTGTATACACATTGGAGGAAAAAATTATCCTCTGTCAAAGGAGCTTACATTCTATTTCAAAAAACACCAAACATTAAAGCGACTTGCCTAAACTCACCAGGAGAACACACGGGGTGATCCCATTCAGGCTCACATGTGACAAAGCAACTGTAAAAACTCTTCTTGATAGCAGTGTATGAGTGTTAGTCAATCATGAAATGTTTTACGACCAGAAGCTTCATGAAGGTTAGAGCCTTATTGTCTTAAGTAATGCCAAACAAACTTTATCATCTGATGCTACACTGGTACTCCGTAATAAGTCACTGAAAAAGTATCAAATAAACATAAAGTTCAACAAACTTTACTGAAGGTATAACTTAGAATAAAATGTATCAAGATGGGTTTAAAATGTCTAAGTCCATGTGTACAATAGTAGTTCTGTAACACTACAAACAAAATAATTTACAGTTAGCAGGCTTTTAAGAGGTAGCATCTCTTAAAGCACTAACAATAGTAACTTTATCACGTATCACGTCCGGTACTAACAAACTTGCTGTGTAAGAGTTTTTGAACTATGAAACTATAATCTGGAAACTCATCATCGCTGATAACGTTACAGTCCGTTTGTGAGCAGTTGAATCCTTATTTGTATATTTAAAATTAAACCATGTACTGGCTTTAATTGTCTCACAAACATCCACTTAACTGATTAACATTGACTGCATACTTGAATCTTACAAAAATAAAATAAAACAAAACAAAATGTTTTTTGACCGTCATGGTCTTACTATATGTGTGTATCATATATTTAGAGGACAGAAAACTTGCCTTTTACATAGACTTTTTGAAATCATAATTCGATATGTGGGGTGTTTACTTGAAACATGGTGGACTTTTCTGTATACATTTGACTCAATAATTTGTAGCAGTGGAATTGTGGATTCGTTCGGTCAGTCCTGACAACCAATTCTAGCATTGTATATGTTCAGTCCAACAAGTTATAGCAGTGGAGATTTGTACTCCACCTTAGGCAGACCCTGCTACAGGGAAGCCAAACCCTACAGTCTGTGAATATCGCTATCAGTCTCCTTGATTCCTTCTCAGTAGCCACTCCAGGCATTAACAATTACCTGTATGTTAACAGAGAAAGCACTCCATTCTAGAAGTACATACACTCAACTATTCCTGATCAATACCTGGAATTGGTTTTCCATGTTGCAGAAGGAACCCTATCACATACGTAACATAATTAATTTACATTAATAGATTATAAAAACACTGTTATTCTAGGGATTTAAAGGTTCCCTCTGTCATTGGCTACATCCCTCAGTCTTTTCAAAAGCGCGGTGTGGTTCTCCTGACAGATGCGCTTGGCCGGTGATTCGCTCCCTTCTTCCAGGACAATTCCTCTTTTCTTGGTGGGAGTCTCTCCTGTTCGCACCATGCTGTTAATGTCTTGTAACTTCTGGATTGAGAGAGAAGACAGAATATATTGTATATACTGAATACACAACTATATTCTAACTATATTGAAACCAAATAATTAGGCTTTGGATTTTTCATAGACTTTACATTTTCATATGGAAATTTATTTAGTTTCATTACGGTCTATGCTATATTGGATTCTACACACTGCAACTGATGGTATTTTGCATCATTACAGAGAACATTTTCCAATTGAATAAACCTCACTTTTCCATCTTATTGTGACATTTGGTAAAGGGATGTTTTGTCCCCTCTCGACACCAGAACTTTTTCACTGTTTCAGTCAAACTTAGTACTTGTATATTTATGCGTTATATTATATTTTATATGTTGTTTGGCTATTGAAAATTATTCAGATGGGAGACAAAATTTTTTGAAGAATAAACAAAGTCAAGGGTTATTTTATTGTATGAGTGTGTGAAATTATCCATTTGTGACTTTCCAGATACAATCATATATACATTTTTCAGTTGGTTTGGAGTATTAAGTCCAGTATTTTGTGTATGCCTGTGTGAATGAGTTATTTTCTAAGTGGCCAGACCTTAAAATTTCTGCTCGATGAAAGAATGTTCAAAAATGCCAAACGGATACTTGCTACCCACATAGGACAACACGACAAGGCACAGTCAAACCCCATATTACCTTTATCCCCCACAACAAAAAGGGCACTGAGATATGCACACAAATTGTCCCCCCTAGCGACTTAAATAGACACTTTGGCTGAAATACATGAATACATTTTGGCAGGATTATTGTCCTATGCATGGTGCACTGTTATTTTAATTTTCGTTAGTGTTTTTGGTTTTCCCTTTAATTTTATATTTAATCTTATGGTCTCCCAGTATGTAGTAGCATTGCTTCAAACTGGGATATTAAAGGTCTTGTTGTGCAAGACCTTCCACAAATTGGAAAATAGTGACTCTGTAAACATGACTTAATCTTATGAATATGCAGTATGAACAAGTATAAGACACCATTCCACAGTAGTAGAAAGGACCATACCTATAGGAAGATATTTATTTTTGCAAGGTATCTTAGTATTCTTTCACATACATTTTAATTAGACCTACTTGATGGTTTAAAAATAAAATAATATATATATATAAATCTCACCTTTGCCGGGCTGAGGTTAAAGTAGTAGCAGATCTTTTCCCGAGGAGAAGCTGTGTTGGTGTCATCACCATGGGAGGAGATGAATATAGGATAACCGTGGGACAACTGAACACGGCGTGGCGAAAGGACTCTCATTGAAGGATATGGAGAGAGTGGCGTAGCCTCCCCCTTAAAAAGAAATATGTGTTTATGGTGTATTTTGTTTACTCATATAATAAACATCAAAAGCATTACCAAGTTCAACACCTCCTGAAAACTGTAGAGATAATTTATTAAAATGCTTTTGAACTAAATAAGGAAATACTTGCCTCAGAACTCATTTAAAACCTGATGATTTTACATCTCCAAAGATTGGTAAGTACGGATGTGAGGGGTGGACCAAAAAGGGGCAAGATGAGGGATGTGAGTATATTAGAAAGGGGGCAGGCCTAACAAGAAAGTCCATCTGATGTGAGTGCACGTCAGGTTGACTGATAGGTACTTTGGCCAGCCCCACAAAGGACCGCAAATGCGTAGTAGCATGCGAACGGGCTGAATGGCCTAAGCTTAGTTTGAGACATTTGATGGTATATTCCCTGGTATCATTAAAAGTGGGACACCAAACCTGGAATAATTGGACAGGAGCCCAAAATTTACTTTTTGGTTCACAAATTAATGGTCTTGTGATCCGACCTGTTGTAAGCAATACTTTTTCATTTGTGTCTCACCAAGTTATTTTGATTATTATTATTATTTTGTTATTGTTTAGTGTCTCACCAACTTATTTTGGAAAGCTAAGCAGTAGGATGGAACATTTTTAATTAAAAAAAGCACACATCTTTTACCATTATCAGTTATCTATCAATCTTGCATTTTACATGCCTAAGCACACCCTTTAAGCAAGTGAGCAACGCTTCATATTGACAGAAAAAACACTATAGGTTCATTTCTATGTTTGTTCATTTAGCGACAGGCTGATAATGACTAAAATACCAATCACTGTCATTAGCAATTACCAACAGTCCCATTCTAGAAATTGTACCATTTAACACTTGATAATTAGCAGCTGACAAAAGTGTTAACATCTCCTACAGCTATTAAAGGAACACTATACGGTCATGAACAAAAAACACATATTCCTGACCCTATAGTGCAAAACCCACCATTTAGGTGGCTTTCCCCTCCCACCCCCCTTAAAAGTTAATAAAACTCACCTTATTTCCAGAGCAGTGCGGGTCTGCGGGCAATGGCATCGTCCCCTTAGTGACATCAGCAGAACTGCCTATTTTTGGCCAATCCAATGCTTTCCCCATTGGCTAAAATCAGCAAGGGGGTGGGGCCAAACACCATTTTGGCCAATCAGCACCTCCTTGTAGATATGCATGAAATCAATGCATCTCTATAAAGAAAATGAAGAGCACTTCTGCCTACTGTGTAGCACTGAGCCAGGAAGCACCTCCAGTAGCCATCTGAGGGGTGGCCACTTGGAGGTGTCCCTAGGGGCAATGTAAGTGTTTATACTCACCAGAATAACTACATTAAGCTGTAGTTCTGGTGACTATAGTGTCCCTTTAATAGGACCCAATGGAAACCAGTGGTTTCCATGCTAAACATAAGAATACATACCTGACTAAAAATACTACAATGCCTCAACACTCATAATGTTAATTGATAACTGAAAACTCTAAATAAATCTTGTATTATGTCATATCTAAATACATTTAAGCACTAAAGCATTTCTATGATGTATGTATTTTTCGATAAATATTTGTGAAATTTGTTGGGTGAAGTGCCTGTGCATGAAGTGAACCTTTTATAGTGTTTTTGAGGTGTTGCTAGAGTAATGAAAAACACATATATATATATATATATATATGCCTTATTTGCAAAATGGTAAAAGCTAAGAGTTGGTCGGTACCAATGAAGAAAGAAGTTCAAAACAAGTGTTAAACAAGTAAACCTGTCAGTTTTATCCTCCTAATTATACCGACTGTAGGTGTTTACAATAATCAATAGCTAACTTTATCAACAAGCACAGAAAATGCCCCCTGTGTCTTACAATGATTAATAGCCAACTTTATCGACAAGCACAGAACACACCCACTATGTCTTCTAAAGTATGCAATATCGTTCCTTCTACTTACCGAAGATTTTTTTGAATATTTCAATGCAAAGGTTTTCATTTTGTCATGGTATATATTATTGTAGAACTGAACGAGGTCCCCTCTCTGCTCTCCCTCCATATCACTGCTCATTGCCGGCACACGTGTAGGTGTTGGGGGAGCACTGTTGGGCTGAGCAGCTGGTAAAGTACTGCTGGATCTCATTACTGGGCTTGCCTCGCGGCTGTCTAGATGAGGTGGAGAAGTTTATAGACAAATTATTAAAACCAATATACAAGATATAAGCTGAACTTTGAAAAATTAATAGACAAAAGTGCAAAGCAGTTCTGATATCTGTACTTCATTTAAAAAAAAATGTAGGTAAACCTCATCTTTATCGAATAGCTTAAAAGGCATTCATGTAAAGTACATTCCAAACAAAGTGATTATAATCTTATAGCTGGTTACTCTGAAATGAGCATTTTTATCTAAATGATCATTTATATTTGCTTTGCAGATGCACAGCCTAGAAGAGGGAGACGTGCAAGGTTTCTAATTTTTTTGTGTGTTATACTGAGGATACAAGTCACATATCGTTATACAATATAGACTATCAATTATACAATAAGATAAGTGCATGACTGATCAGGTTTGAAAAAATCTGCTGACAGCATCAACAGCTGAAACTACCAGTGGGTAATTTTAGGTTTTCAGCTGTCTCAATGGCAGATGCAGTTTTTTTTTTTTTTTAAATATCTGAGTCAAGAAAAGGGAACTTCTTTGAGTTCTCTCTATAAGTTAAATATAAAGCGATAGTCTCTAAATTACATGTATATTAAAAGTTATGTCCATAGCACAAGAAAAACAAAAGTATAAAAATGATAAAGTTAACCTTAAAATGTGTTTGAATATGGAGTACTTTATAAAGTACACATGTTCTACATTGTCACTGATAACTTGTGAATGTGAGATATATTATTTCATACCAAGATCTTTGCTGTGTTCTGCTGGGGAGTTTGTTTGCAGATTGACGTCGCTGCTCCCAGATTGCCTTCTTCTACGTCTTTCTAAGAGGACACTTCTGTAGACCTGTGAGATTTAGAAATTGAAGGGAGAGCTTGTTTTGGATCTTGCTAGATATGACTAGAGGTAAAACGTACAGGAATAAACCTATCCAAAATCGAGTGGAAAGACAGGGAATGAATTTGGAATGTTTTGGAAAACGGCTTATTTTTACCATCACTCACATTAATTTCTATTGGTTTAAAAAAAGCCCCCATAAAAGCTCAAGATATAAAATAAATCACAAGGATACTGGATCCTAAAACACACCAGGAAATATGCTGTGAGAATTGATCAAAAACTAGTGAGGTGTACCTCCTTTTGGGAGGAATGTGTGTCCAACAAAGTGCTAAAATCAAATATATAAATTACACCAGCTGTAAACCCTTGTGTGGAAATATCCTCTTGTTCACACCCAAAGAAATCCAAAGTCTATAAGGTGGTATAAGTGGAGTGCTGATATATATAAACGGGTAGACTTACTCCACATGGGTTGGTATCAAACGTGGTTGGTAATATATATATATAAAAAAAGATAAAAAGTACAATATAGTGCAGATGGTACATATAGTCAAAATAAAATGAAATAGTGGTGAAAAAGAAACACTCACATTTAAAGGAGCCTGTATATAAATACTGGCTCCGTAATCATGCTTGCATGCTTTCAAGGTAGCATCACACCTTCAATCTATGATAAGATGTATCTCAAAGACAAAACGTGGAGAGAAGGAAACCAATGTGTAGAATGTTTAAAATGATATGGGAGGTGAAATAAGTAAAATGCTCACCTTTCTCAGAGCCTAGTAATCCCGGCTCTGAGGTAGGATAGCTATCAGGGGGGATGGCACTACCCCAATGTAGATTTAATAGGATCCAGAGGACTTCTTAAGATATATAAAATATATTTATTGATAACGTATAACTTGTAACATGTAATAAAATAAAAAATAGAAAATAGAAATAAGGGAGTCCTGAATTTGCCAAAACGTGTTTCACTCTTGTAGAGTTTCCTTAGTCAGCTGTAGGTCTGGTCCTGTGAATCTTTCATTTTTAAATGTCTTGTAGCACTTCCTCTTTACTCACATGGGTTTGTTATTATCCAATAGCAAAGTCCTGGAAGCGTCTGTAATTGTGATTGAGGAGTAAAGATGGGGTGGTAATGTAGTTAATTCGCCGCATTATGGAGCCATTTCTATCATTAAATTTAATTGATGGGCAGTGGTGGTTGGCGGAAGAGCTAGCCCTGCCTACTGTGGTTGGCGGAAGTGAAGTCGCGGGTATCTGCAATTGTCAACCCTCTCCAACCACGTGACGTCACCATTCCGTTCCAACCTCCCTCTAGCATACGTGCACCTGTCTGTTTGAGGGGGGAGTCTGATCATCACACACGCTCAGGGAAGGCTGGGAATGGTGTTCTATCAAATTCCCCTACCCATGAAAATCCCCTACCCTCGTCCCTTCCGGTGAGGGGAATCAGCTGGATCCTGTGCTGCACATGCGTGCTAACACTCCGGCTACTCCTCCACAGCAAGGTCCTGGAAGGTACGTAAAACTAGTTTGACACTTTCATTATAGTTAGTGCATTCACTAAGCTTAGGACATGGGACATTTAGGGTTAATGTTAGGGTTCAAATTAGGGTTAGGATTAGGGACTTGTTCCTATTTAGTGATATTTCACATTAGGGGAATATCACTAAATTGTGCTTTTTCACACTTTATTTTAACCCTTACCCCAAGGGTTAGGGTAAGAATAGAGTGTGAGAGAGGTTAAAATCACTTAACTAACCCTAATTTGCACCCTCACTTAACCCAAAATGTCCCTTGTGCTTAAGCTTAGTGAATGCACTAACTATAATTAAAGTGTAAAACTAGCTTTACTTACCTTCCAGGACCTTGCTGTGGAGGAGTAGCAGGCGTGCTAGCATGCATGTGCAGCACAGGATCCAGCTGATTCCCCTCACCGGAAGTCACGAGGGTAGGGGATTTTGATAGAACAACGGCGTCGCGAGTCACATGTTGAGTCATCCTGCCCCCGAAGTATGTGACGTGCTCCCGAGACCTCCCCTGTCTCAATACCACACAGGGGAGTTCGTATGAGCCGTATTTGTTGAGGGAAAATAGTGAGGGCAAAGAGGAGTGGACTCAATGAAGTGGTCTCATATGTTGAGCGATGTCTTGAGATCTAGAAAGGGCAAAAACAAGAGAGACATAGTGCTCTCTGTAAACCCTTTATAAGTCATTACGAAGAAAGGGTTTAATAATAATACTGTAATAAAGTGTTTACCGAGAACACTGTGTCTATTGTTTTTTTCCCTTTCTAGCTCTCAAGACATCGCTCAACATATGAGACCACTTCAAGGTTAGGTATTATACCCCTCTAAAGAAGACTTTTCACCTATATGTCACTATCCCATGTAGTCCTATGGAGGTCATAGAATATCAGCCACAGATGATTTTAGTTCCTGCTATTCAGTAACAGGTATCTAACATATTGGCCGCTGATACACTTTTGCTACATTTTATCACAATATAAAGTGTTATTGACTGTTCACTACATGGACTGCCATGCTCTTTTTATATTGTTTTTTTGCGGTTTCATTTTAGTTTTTATTATAGTATCTTTTGCTGTGTACTATTTTATCAACTTTTGAAAAATAATTTTTCACTGTTTAGTTAACAGCGGCCCCTTCATTCCTATTTAGGGGCATCACTTTTCCTGCACAAGTCATCATTAAAAACACATTTTAAAATTTTTACTTTTTTTTATTAATTCTCACAGCATATTTCCTGGTACGTTTTAGGATCCAGTATCCTTGTGATTATTTTATATGAAGTTATGACTTTGGCATTGATAATATATATTAGCCAAATATGAACTTACATCACTCCTTGCATGAGGCTGGGTACGATAGCATTTCATAATATTTTGGAAAGATGCATCCTCCTTTGTAACCTGCAGAGAGAAAATAAAATAATCTAGAATAAAAACGGGGTGAAAAAAAACCACACAAAAAGCCCCACTCTAAGTACGTGAACATGTATTTTGTTTAAGGGTGATTATTGAAAGGCCAGATTATAACCAACATGGGAACCTCATAGTGGTCACATGCCATTCATGTCCCACCCTTCTTACCTTGGCCATGATATACACAGCACACATCAGGAGCTGGTCTAAATGACGATCTTTCATCATGTCTGGGAAATGGACAATGGAATACTCAAAACAAGTCCAGATTTTGTTCCTGAGTTCGACAGAAACATCGAGCTTCTGGCACAGATCTCTAAGGCGAACACTGGCTAAATGGTAAACCTGTACAGTGAAGGAATCAGAGAACCAATGTAAGAGATTATACATTGCATGTAATTATGTGAGTATTACAGATAATGGGAAGGTCGGCACAAGGATTTAGTTTGTATTACAGCAATCAATAGGTCTTGTATGTAATTATATAACACTGATGGTAAACCTTGTCACCCCATTTTCCATGATGCTCAGCCAACTGTAGACATCATGGGAAATTTAGGGATAGTCCTCTGTGCATTTCTCTCTCCCATTTCAGCCACTTCTAAAAGGGTCTATTTACTAAAGTCTGAACGGTAGCAAACTGAAATTTAAATGGTAAAATAACTTACCTGAAAAACTAGACTTTGTATGTCTTTGTGAAGCTTTCTTGTGTATGTTTTATGAAATCAAGACAGAGCTCTCAGTTACATATAAATAAGATGCCACAGGCATCAAGCACTGTGGCATATATGTATGATGGCAATACAGTGTTAAGCTGTCCTGTTTTTACAGTAAGGGAAAGTCTAGTAAAAGTCCATGACCCCTAGTGAAGTTGTTGGGCAGAGTGGGACAGGTAGCTGGGCAGATTCGGTGACACAGCTGTTTCAAAGGCAGGAGAAGCACAGACGGACTCCCTCCCTCCCCTATTTAAACTTTCTTTATAATTAATGTCGTGGTGTTAGAAAACATCGGGGCAAAGTCATCCTCAGGTTCAAGTTCGGAGGAAGAATATGTGTCAAATGGTTGGATATAAAAGGCGGTCAGGTTAGCTATAACTGACTGGCAATTAGGTGATGGTGAAAGTTAAAAGTTTTGGAAGTTACAAGTTTATGTAAATATGTTATCGTTATCCAAAGCCAAAGGGTCAAGGATACCAGAAATACATGAAGTCAAGCCAAGATCAAAAACCAATATTCAGAATCAGGAACGTGCTCTCGGATAACCAACAGGATGGAAACCATGACAGGGCACTGAACAACTGCAGTAAACCCTGCTATTGGCTGATTTGGGTCCCATGACCCCAGAATGTGCGTGCACGGCGAAAACGTGACGTAGCATGCACGTTTACATCACTAGTTAAACTGTTAATAGCTCCCAACTGATTCCTCTCTTGCAACTGTCATTAGTCTAATACTATCCTTACCTTTTGTGTCACTTTACCCCACTCCCTCTAGCATGTAAACTCATTGAGCAGGGCCCTCAACCCCTCTGTTCCTGTGTGTCCAACTTGTCTGGTTACAACTACATGTCTGTTCGTCCACCCACTGTAAAGCGCTACAGAATTTGTTGGCACTATATAAATAATAACATAATAATAATAATAATAATACTGTTATGGTGGTATGCCCCCTTTTAAAGCTTTAAATAAACAGTACAGCCTAGCCCATTAAAATATAAATAAACTGTGTCTGTGTTTATTGTGTGGTTATTTATTTGAAATATTCCCTACCATACACACATTTCCTAATGCCTTACCCGTCTGCAAAACAGGGAGAATGAGCTGGTCTTCTTCAGTTTCGAACTGGTCACATTCCTCTGGTTTGGAGAAGCCGGGACCTGTGGAGTTGTGACTTGCCCTGTGACCTGAATCTGCTGAGAGGTTAAAGGGCCTGCAAGAGTCTGTGCAGTGAGGGGCTGTAATGTACTCGGTACATTGTGAGGCTGTCCACTGACTTTCACTTGCATTGGAAAGAATGTGATCCCTCCATTTTCATTGGCAATACCTGCATGGAGGTAGGAGACTATATATATTGACATTTATTATTATGATCTATTTTGAACACACATCAAAAGTACACAGCAATTCAATATGGTTACTAAACACAAACGTAAAAAAATTCCCATTAGTCTGTATTAGACAAGTACGAACAGGAAAAAAAAATACAATGTAACAAAACAGTTTTCCAATTACTTTTAAAAATAAAAATAAAAAAAAAGGTGCGTACAAAACAAAAGGAGGAAAGCCTTGCACATCTTTAATGGGGAAAAAAAGACTGGTATTATGAATTACAGTGTTGTTCCCTACTTCTAGTTCTCCTAAAGTGCTTACTCACCTTGCACAGGTATGGTGACAGTTTGGCCATTATTGGCTGTTACAGTGGCTGTTGCCATGGTAACCAGTGTCTGGCCAGGAACCGGTGTTGTAGTTACAGACTCGGTTGCAGCAGGGGTGTGTGGAGAGTTTTGGGGTGTACTGGCGGTATCTGTTGGGCTATCTGTTTCCATGAAGAGGCGTCTACGTGCTGTTCCAGGAGCAGGGGAGTTGTAGCGCTCACTAACATTAGCCGGGGATGAAGGAATACCTTTATATAACAACAGAAGTTTGATTAGCAAATTCCTGTTTAGCAAAAATGGACAGCTTTTATTAAAAAAAATATAAAGTTATTTTAATCAGCAAATTGCACTGTGACATAGCACTGCATGGTCCAAAGTTACTAAAATGTATTAAATATAAGTTTATGGAATAAATATAAAGGGAGAGAGAGAGCTTTTTCAGTACTAAAAGACAATGGACTGAATGTGGATTTGGGTCCCTCTCCCACCATCCAAATGTTATGACATTCATTCATGCATAGCTACTGCTCTTACAAATAAACCTCCCTATGCAATATAACTTTAGCTTTCAACCATTTAAATTACAGTCAAAAGACATAGGAGTGTATTGTTACCATGCAATAGAGGTTTATTTAAAAAAATTAAATAAAAAATCTGTTGAAATGCATGATGAAATCTGAAACACAATGCTGGTTTATGCTGATTTGCATATCCCGTAAAGTATTCTGGGAGAATTATGACAATATAGATTTCTCAAAAATACTGTGCCTAGAACAGATTTTACTCAAGGTTAACATGTGATATATAAGTGATGCACAATACATCTTCAATTCTGTACATACATTACATTGCGTATTAGACATGACACCAAACACAAGCTATAGAGCACTAACTTCTTGCAAGGCCTGCTGCATCTGCACGAATCTCGTTCACTCTTCTGGGGGTGAGAGGAGTGGGGGAGCTTGTTGCACTGTTACAACAGGATTTCTCAAAGTGTTGAGGATGCATAACCTACAGTTTAAGACATAAAAAAATAAACAAACATGACAAACAGCCAGTGCTTCCTGATAGACTAACATCTTTTCACAACAGTATGTATTTCTTTGGCTGTACAAACCTCTTCACAGAGTGGGAGCTTTTCACAATTCTCTCTTATCTTTTCCCATAATGGGGAATCATGTGTCCACGCCATGCTATCCAATATCTGTTCTTCAATGTGGTTCAGATGCTTCACCATATCCCGACACAGACCATCCTCTGCCTTAATAAACACTTCAATCACCTACAACGGGAAGAAAGCGTTAACTGTACATCTCGAAGCAGGCAAGTCAATCCCATCACGAGCAAGAAAGGACCAAACTTTATTTGTAGGTTAACTGCAATTCACACAATAAATAAAACATTGGAATTTACCAAAAAACACTCTGTTTTCTTTTAAATTTATATTAAATATTTAGGAAAGGATTTTTATAAGCCAGTTCAGATAAGTCAAAGCCAGGACAAACATTGCAAACAAGTAGGAGAAATATTGTTTTATTCTTCTCTGTAGTTTTTCTCTATGTTGACTTCTGTGTGTAAAGTATAGAGCTTATTACAATGATTGACAGGGAGCTATGATAAAGGCACTAATTTGAAGGAATAAAGAGGTGTGGATTTCTACATTTATTTATCACACTTTACACATACAGGCCTTGATTTAATATTTTTGGATATGCTTTTCAAATGATTTCATAATTTTGTTTACAATTATATAAAAAAAATTTTTTTCAAACTAATAAAATATCTAATTATACACAAAAAATATCGAAATATAAAAATCATTTTTAAAACGTTGATCCAAAAATACTAAATCATTTGAAAGGCTTATCCAAAAAAGAGATTAATTGAATCAATGCATGTATATAAGGAAAGTTCAGTGTCTCCATGCAGATGGTGGGGACACACTTAATGTCAGTCACACTGTGCAGCACCTCCCAAGGAAGCACCTCTAGCAGCCACCTGAGGAGTGGCCAGTGGAGGTATTCCTAGGCTGTAATGTAAGCACTGCATTTTCCCAGGAAAGACAATGTTTACTGCAAAAAGCCTGAAGAGAATGATTATACTCACCAGAACAAATACATTAAGCTGTAGTTGTTCTGGTGACTGTAGTGTCTCTATAAGTTAACATGGAGGACAGACTAGTCAGGGAACATGAATAAACTTGGCAATAATAGTTAGAAAACCAGTAAAATGTGGAGATGAAGAAGCAAGACATGTAACAGGAGATAAATCAATACCAGACAGGTGCAAAGATAGATACTGTTCAAAGGCCCATGCATGTTTATTGGAACAGACCTTATAAAAATTATATGGCGCAAGGTCAAACATCATAATTATTTGAGGGAAGTTGCCAGGGGGCTTGTAGGCAAACATGGTAATCTCAAGGCAGCACGCCAACAGGGATCTGTGAAAGACATCCTGTTCCAGAATGTTCTGAAATAAAGCAAGAATCATTAATCAGCAACATTATACATTTATTGAAGGCATTCCAAACTGAAAAGGAGGGCCAAATTACCAAGCTGACCTACTTTAAAGAAATATTCTACAACTTTGGCAACGTTTATATCTAAAAAGTTCAATTTGTCTGCAGAACACTAACTAAAAACGAACATTCAAAAGTCAAGAGCCACAGATTGCACGGCGTAGTGTGAATATTTAGATAGGTTTATTGTGGGATCAAAGATAAAACAGAGATATTCACAATAAACCTGAGTATTCATCCTGTGCTTTGAATTTTTGAGGTTAGTGGAGCTCTACCACAGAGCTCAGGTGTTACTTAATACCGGTGTGCAACACTTCATTACTGGTCTAAAAACTAATATGATTATTCGCTAAAGTGTCAATTTTCCAGAATTTAAAGTGAATTTCACATTTAAAGGACCACTAAAGGCACCCAGACCTTTGCAGCTCAATGAAGTGGTCTGGGTGCCAGGTCCCCCTAGTTTTAACCCTGCAGCTGAAAACATAGCAGTTTCAGAGAAACTGCTATGTCTACACTGCAGGGTTAATCCAGCCTCTAGTGGCTGTCTCCCTGACAGCCACTAGAGGTGCTTCTGCGATTTACACAGAGTAAATCGCACTTATTTGATGCTGGACATCTTCACGGAGTCCAGCGTCAAAAAAGATCCCCATAGGAAAGCTTTGAGTAATGCTTTCCTATGGGCAGGTTTGAATGAGCGTGCGCACCCCTGGCCGCGCATGCCCATTCGGGTCCACTCGGGAGCGGTCGTTGATGGAGGAGGAGAGGTCACCAGCGCCAAGGGAGTCTGGTGTTGGATTAAGGTAAGCAAATAAACGGTTAACCATTTATTTGCCACGGAAGATGCCCTACTCACCGTTTAGGTGACTAGGGCTCTATAGCGTTAGCAATACATATTTGTATTCCTAACGCTATAGTGTTCCTTTAAGGCCAGAATATAGCTCAACTGAAAACATAGCTTATTGAGAGATTGTGTCCAATTCAGCTATTTTGACCTAAAAATTTTAAATTTAGTTTGGAATCCCTTGAAATAATCCTTACTAAAATAACCAGCCTTTGACTGGCTAGAGTAGTATAATTTTTCCCAAATCAGTCATTTTGACCTAGATTTTGCAATTCAATTCAATTCGCAACAATCTGGTGATTAGTGAATTAGCCCCCAAACAGTTTGATGCGCGGGGTAATTTTCTTATTATGACTGCTACCTGGTGAGAAGTTATAGTTGAAATTAGCACAATCTCAACAATTTATACATAACATGTTAACGTCTTCAAAGCTGAAAGGTATCCAATAAAATCCCAAACTATCCTCCAAAAATGTGAAGTTTTCCCCACAATCTTTTTCTGGAAAAGTAGCAAAACCAAATAAAATTTTTAAAAAATTAATAATTGCTATGTAAAAAAATATATATAAGATCTCCACGGCAATAATGCTGACAGCAACATATAGTGCGGCGGTTCGGCAAACAGTAGATGCAGAACCCCAACTGCCTTGATGCTTTGCCAGCTATTATAAGAGCAAAGCATCATGGAAGTTGCAGTTCTACAACATCTGGGGGTCAATCGCTCGCCTGTCCTGGTGTAGTGTGTAGGAGTGCATCAGACATCTCCATAGCAACAACGTTGACAGAACTGTGCAGTCTGAGATTACTTGCACATCTTCATAGCTACAAAAATAGGTCATCCAATTTATGTTACATCAATTACATCATGCCAATGAAATAATTTCACTTTGTACTAAATCCCTTACCCATCTATCAGTAGGCTACAAAAGCAGTATAAAAAAATCCTAACCCTAAATGTTATCAATTCATACGTCATACCAAAGTGGAATTATATGTTTCAAATGCTACCTCTCCATATCCCAATCCATTGGCTTCAATTAATACAAAGAAGTTTTACTCAATACATTTGGAAAGGCAAGAAGCCAAGATTGAAACAATCAATATTAGTGCAGAAAATACATAAAGGTGGACTTGACTATCCATTTATAATGAATAATTTTAAAGCAGCTACTATCCTACATGTTTATAGAATGCAAATGAAAGAAAATAAAGATGAGGGATGGTATAAAATGGAATTGAAGGCAGGAGAAGTTTCTAGCTTAGACTGTTTAATTTGGAATATAAATAAAATGTCAAAGAAAAAAAGAGTATGCCAGTATTATTTTAACTCAATTACTGGAAAATTGGTTAAAAATTAAAAAAGCAATGAATATAGAAAAAAAAGTTCCAAGTTATTTAGAGTTAGATATTGTAGAAAAACAAGTGGAAGACTTAAACTTAAATAATTGGAAAAAAGTAGGGATAACGACTTTGGACCAATTATTGATAGAAGGATCAATCAAAACCTTTGCTCAAATAACAGGGATATATAATCTTCCTCCTAGAGAGGTGTTTAATTTCTTAAGACTTAAAAGTTATATGAATACACACCTTATAATACCAAAATCTAACCTGAGCAATTTGATAGATTTATTATTCACGTCAAAAAAAATCAATAAACCACTTTCCAAAGCTCTAATATTAATTAAATCAATGGTCAAAGATACAAATCCTACTGCCATACAGGTTTGGAAACAAGATTTGAATATCGATATTAATTTGAATCAATGGGGTTCTTCAATGATGGATGTTAAGAAAAATATACATTCATTAAATTTATTAGAAACGCACTTTAAAGTTTTAAATAGGTGGTACTTAGTACCAGCTAAATTGAATAAAATTTACTCTCTAATTAATCCTATCTGTTGGAGATGTAATAGTATTAGAGGCAATTTTAGACATATTTGGTGGGATTGTCACAAATTAAAAAATCTCTGCTTGAAAATACAGCATTTTATATCCAATAATTTAAAACTCGAGTTGATAATTTCTCCAGAGGTAGTTCTACTGCATCTGAATTGGCCTCATATGACATATGAATTAAAAGCAATTCTTATACATCTTTTTTTAGCGGCTAAAATAGTAATTGCGAGATGGTGGAAAAGGGATTTAGAAGTCCCCTGGAAGAAAGTTAAAATTCAACTCGAGTTTCAGATTAGAATGGAGCTGATGCTAAGTAAACAAAGATTAAGCAATAAGATTTCTGTTTGGTCAAAGTGTATTGAGATGATTGATGTAGAAAATAATGCCGATCAATTAGAAGTAGAATAATTCCATGAACATTGTAAATAATTATGAGACTTATCTAAATGATATTACCACTCTACTACGGAAATCTTTTTGATGTATTTTTCTCTTCCCTCCCCTATTTTGCTGCTATGTTGTTTTTGTATTATAAATGTATATTTGTATGATATTTGTATTTGTATGATATATGTATTTAATAAGGTTTAAAAAAAAAATATATAAAATAAAGATTAAATATTCAAAAAAAAAAAAATCCTAACCCACCATTTATAATTATATAGTCCATTTTTTCCCCTTCCTGTTTAGATTGTCAAAACTATTCCAGCGAAAATAGTCTTTTGAAGGTTAACCAAAGTGTAACGTAAAGAAATTAAACAATGGAAATAATACATTTATTCTACTTACAGACAGGTCCGAATCACCCAGACGTTTCTTTTCTTGGCAAATAATAGATTCTAACACCTTGTAATACAGTACCTCTGCAAGTCGGAAATATTTTTTTGCAATATCTATGGAGAGAGCAATGTTTTGTCAAATTAACCCACAGGACCTAAATGACATCTAAAAATCAAGCTAGATTCAGCCAATGTTTTGGTTATCATAAAACTCGTATGACAACAGGTCAACATTCAAATAATCAACATAGCTGACTGAGCACCTATGGATTTAGCATAAGATATGGACATTTAATTGCTCTCATCTTTAAATCAATTTGATAACTGGTCAGACCTTTGCAAAACTGATTTTCTCCTCCTTCGGACACAGTGTGCCCACAGAAAGTATCAAACATTTCTCTGAGCCTTTCAGAAATTGCATGAGTAGGGTCCCGGGAACAAGATCTAAGAGAGAGACAGAGCAAGAATCAACATAAAATTCATCCTTTAATCCCTTCATGACAAGACAAATCCTATTATATTCCATCATGTGTCAAGAGACTATGGAATACTATGTTGTTCATTGTATTGGGACTCCATGTGGGAAGGGAGTGCAAAACCAGCACCCCTAAAGCAATAATGGCCGTTTAGATCAGGGGTAGGAAACTTTTGGCTCTCCAGGGGTTGTGTACTGCTTCTCCCATAGGACTCTTACAGCCACAATGCTGGCAGAGCATCAGGGGAGATGTAGTCCACAACATCTGGAGTGCCAAAGGTTTCCTGCCCCTGGTTTTTACATACATCTATATATTTGTTATATTTGTATGCACGGACACTGGTCATTTCTCTTAATACGCCATAAATTCTTTCTTATTCAGTGGGCAGATGTAAACTGTGTGCTTTCTCTTTGGAGACTAACTTTTTCATGCAAGCTCTGTTGCAGAGAAATTAAACAACCAGTTTGGGCACAATAAGAAGCTCACTGAAATTAAGTTTTGGCACCAGAAGGTCCCTGTTGCTAGCTCACCCTTAGGGGTTAAACCATTCAGAAGTGGTTTAACCCCAAAGTCTATGTTTCAGCGCTGGATCAATATGCTCTCCTGTCCTTTCACTTTTTGAAACCCTAGATAACTAAGGCTCAGACTACATCAGGGGTTTCGCTTATTGGCTAAGAGCGGTCAGCTGAAGGTCAATCAGTAGCTCTCTGTGTGGGTAGCAGCATATGTAGTAGTGTGTGAGTAACAATGTGAGTAGTAGCATTATGTGTAGTAGTGTTTGTAGGAGTGTGGGCAGCAGTGTGAGGAGTAGTTTGTGTGTGTGTGTGTAACAGCATGGGGAGCAGTATGTGTGGCATTGTGTGTGTAAAGTCAGGTAGCAGTACATGTAGTAGTGTGTGTGCACAGTGTGGGTGGCAGTGCGCGTGTGCACAGTGTGGATGGCAGTGCGCGTGTGCACAGTGTGGGTGTGGGTAGGAGTTTTTAACAGCCACCTGTATTTTGGTGCCTACTCTGCCTCATGGGAAATTCTTCTGTAGCTGCAACCCCCTCGCTCCCTAGAGATTTTCAGCTCACCTCAGGATCTGGAGCAGTTTCTCAGCAGGAGCTGGTTTCAGTCCAGATATAAGAGAAAACAGACGACTGACACTGTACGTGGCACTGGACACTGGGGTGGTGTATGGGCTGTTATCACTCACATATTTCAGGCCAGTAAGTGGAGTTGAAATTCGAAGCGATTTCATCTGTGGGAATGAAAATAATTTTTAATATTATGAACACTTGCACAATAATATAGTGAATAAGGATAACAATATCCATGAGCAATTTACTCAAACACTCAGATTTGGTTTTCTTGATACAAGGATGATACAAATGCTGATGTTTTGCAGAAATGTACCTTTAAGAAGTTAAAATGCTCCTTCTAGACTTCAAAACCTATTTGACCTCTATCAATATTACCTTTCTTTTTTTACCAGTTGCATCAATCAATACTATAGAAAAAGCTGTGTTTACAAGCAAGAACCATTATCTATTTAAACATATGATGTTGAGGGCACTTCTAGCTCCCACTCTGAGAATATAGGTCCCTGCAAGGTTCACTAAACAATTAAGTCTACAGTATAAACACATTACCAAAATATTTTTCCACACGTATTGTATTACAAAAAGAGGAAGTACTGTTATAACCACATAGGGAAGTTCACTTTATGCTTTTAAACAGATGCATTAGAAGAGAGGCCGCTCTCCCCTCCTTATTTGTGTATCTGGGTATACGAACACACATAGACCAAGATAGAATTTTTGAGGTCTTGAAAATCACTAAACCTTTTTAGAGGAAAGTTACCAAGACAACAAGAGTTGAGTGACAGTGGCCAGTATTATCAATATTCTGATGAATTACTACAATTACTTAGAGTCCCTACCCTACAATATCAAAGTGCAAAGAAATCCCTGTTTGCCTTCTGATTTTACAGGTATCCTGTGGAACTCCCAAATTTAATGTTGCAGCATGTGCACAGTCTTTGAATTTCACAGATTTTCGAATTTCATTTCTCCAGATACTTGACTGCACTTTTTTTCAAATAAGCAGAATAAACTGGTAATTAAGGGACACCCCAGATCCTAAAGCACTTTAGCTTAATGAAATTATTGATGTGTGAAGAGCATGTCCCCCTTTTTTTTTTTTTAAGATTTTACAAAAAGTGTAGATTTCAATAGAAATTGGCACTTTTATAAATTAACCTTGTTACACATCCCGACCTGGCTGTCAATCAGGCAACTGGTCCTGTTACTTCCTCTTTTGTTCAGCTCAGTGGAGCTAAACTTAAAGCGGCATTGTCATGGCCAAATCCAGTTGTTGCTTTTTAACCCCCCTCCTAACTCCACTACATCTAATTGCCCCCCAGTCACCCCCAAATTAACTTTTTAAAAATCTTTATTTTGTGCCCGGACCTAGGTCCTGGACGCCACCATCTTTGTGTGGGTAGATGAAGTCATCTGCCTACACTAGATAGCGCTGTGAAATTCCCATGCATGCCCAGTTAAACACTTGGGCATTTGCTATGGGAATTTTGTCTATTCATTAATTCGTCAGGAATGAATAGAAATTTCAGACGAATAAACAAACAATTATCGGTGTTCGTTTGTTATTTCGGTTTATTACAAGGAGGGAGCTAACCGCACGCAGCTCCGTCCTTGTAAAATGTAAAAATAGAAGCAGCAGGGAGCAGAAGCGGAAGGCATGTCTACTAAACAGTGAGCAAAAAAAAAAAGCATCCCCCCCTTCCAAAAAGTGGCCCCATGGTGGGGCATCAATTAACTAGCATCTATTAACATAGGGCCCCACTTGGCCCCTACCCATGAGCGGCGGGTGTGGGCCCTAAATGAAAAAGGGGGGATGGCCAACCTATTGTCCCCCCGACGCCCCCCCATGAGCGGTGGATGGGGGCCTTAAATGAAAAGGGGGGGGGGGAACCTATTGTCTTCACCCCGTGGCCCCACCCATGAGCGGCGGATGTGGGCCCTAAATTACAATGGCGGGGGGAGGGAGGGGAGAACAACTCTTCAATGAGATTGTGGAGGAGAGTGGAGGCTAATTCAAGTTAGTTTAGAAAAACGTCGCCTCTGAGTGGATATGATAACATTATACAAATATATCCGGGGCCAATACAAACCATTGTGTGGAAATCTATTTACAAACAGGACTAAGCATAGGACACAAGGTCATGCGTTTAGACTGGAAGAAAGAAGATTTAGTCTAAGGTAAAGGAAAGGTTTTTTTTTTTTACTGTAAGAACAAGGATGTGGAATTCTCTGCCTGAAGAAGGGGTTTTATCAGAGTCCGTATCAATGTTTAAACAGAAACTACATGCATACTTGCAAAAACATAATAGCTTCTTGATCCAAGGATAAATCTGACTGCCATTCTGGGGTCGAGAGGGAACTTTTTTCCTAGCTTGTTGCCAAATTGCAAGTGCTTCTTTTTTGCCTTCTTTTGGATCAACAACAAAAAACTAATGTATGGAAGGTTGGACTCGATGGACACGTGTCTTTTCAGCCTATGTAACTACGTAACTAACTATGTAAGTTGTCTTTAAGAAGGTGGCAGAGGCATATATTAGAGTATTTTGGAGACCTCTCAATGGAGAATAAGGTACTTTAACGTAAAGTCTTCCATGTAGACAAAGATGTTTTATGATTTTACATCTTTTCCATTGTGATCATTTGGTTTATTGTTTTTTTCATTAGTTATTTCTAAGTCTATTAAATTGTAAGTGCCAAATTGAAAAAAAATGTGGTAAAAGCAGAGCTTCAGACAGCCTCTGTCGGGACATCTTGCCATTTCTCATCAGCTGTCGCAAGTGATAGTTAATGGGACCAGACATTTTTTTTCTAGCGATACCAACACCATCACATTCTAAGTTGGTCACTCTAGGAATCTAATACCATCCACTGCACTGGCTGTCTCAACTTTAGCTTAATTAAGCAGTTTTGGTGTATATATCATGCCCTGCAATCTCACTGCTAAATTGTCAGTCATTTAGGTGTTCAAATCCTTTTGTAAGCAGCCCTAGAAACACCTCCTCTGGCTGAGACTCACACAGCCTCCCTAATAACTCCCAGTAAAAAGATCTAATTTTGCACAGTGTATTTCATTTAGAATGTCTTATCTCCTGCTCTGTTAATAGCATGCTAAAGACTGTGTGATTAAAGTTCACGTAAAAGATCAGGAGATTAAAACTTCTAAAGTAAAAACACTGTGCTGTAGGAGCTAACTTAAAATATTTTTTTTTTTTCCATGGATGCTGTGTGAGTCTCATGGGAGACGTTATGGGAGATGGGATGACTTTTATCATGGTTTATCTCCTAAACGGAAGAGCGAGAGAGCTGATAAATGAGACTGCAGATCTATACACCAAAACCGCATCATTTACATACAGTCGTTTTGGTGTTTAACATATCCCTTTAATACAGATTAGTTAAATGCTGAAATGATTAAGCATGATTACTTACCATGTCAAAGTGTTGCTGTAGATTACGTGTCAGGTGTGCCCTCTCCACAGACTCGGTTCCGGACACAGTATTCAAACAGCGGCCTATACTTCCGATCTCCTCCTCTGCATCCTCTAGAAAGATTCGCTCATCTAAGTTTCCCACCGACAGCACGTATGCTTCATATGCCTTGTTAATAGCTTTCCTAAGTGTTTAGAAAAACAGACAAAAATTAAGACAGACAAAAGTGGAAAATGCTTATTACATGAGTTTGGGGTGCTAAGGCAGCAAGAAAAAGGGGCAAAGTACAGGCGCTAAGTGGGTAGTGATAAGGTTTACGAGGTTCTGTCACAAGCATAGTTATTTGCATTACTTTCTCTTAAAGGAAGTCTCCCACCTATAGTCAACTAATAAAAAGCCTGAAAACCTTCAAAGTAACTTCCAAACATTAAGTCATAGATTCTCCAAGTCAGCTACGTCGCAGTTTGATAATGTTGCCGTAAAATTTTAAATACTCTTTGAATGCACTTTGATCTTATTAATCTTATTAGTGATTTATTACATCGAGCAGCAGATCCTAAAGGAAGGAATAGTCCAGATGGAAAGATAATCGAAACCAATATTATCGATATATATAATATAGAATGGTAAGAGCACACTCAGAATAAAATATTACCACAAACTTGGACAATGATGGTAAAATCTAAAAAGATAAAACATACATATAGGGTAATATAGTTTAGATTAGATCTATGTATTGAGGTTTTAATATTTTATTAAGAGATCACAATAAAAATAATAAGAAGAATTAAATCCTTTATTACGTGCAACACAAGAAATTTAATATATTTGATAACATGTCCCTGCAGTTTCCAATATGTTGGTAAAACATCTAGAACCCTCAAGACAAGAATTCGAGTACACATATATAATAGTCAAGGAAAAAAACTAAATGAAATGGTTGAGTCAGTTTGTAAATCGAAATGTAGACAGATTGCTAGAGATGTATAACAAGAAATGGGGGGTAACCCCTGATTGATTAGTTAAAAAAAACGGAGAAAAACAAAACAGATAAATAAATCTCAGATTATAATCTGTCTATGGGAGAGCAATCAAATTATTATTAAGACTTAACTTTTAATATAGTAGGTAAAAAAATAGCATAGAGTGTATAGCAAAAGTTGTAAAAACATCTAATGAAAGCAGATAGGTTTTCCTATGTAGAGGGCTTTGGTCTAGAGCAGTGATGGTGAACCTATAGCACCCATGCCACAGGTGGCACGCCAGGTCCTTTCTGTGAGCACATGGCCATAGGTTCACCATCAATGTAGAGTAGGCACCTGCCTGCCCAAAACGGCAGGCGCCTACTCTGGTTCCGTGTCAGGATGCAGGGGTAGGGATCTGTGAAGCAGCTCCCCTGTCCTCCCGCGAGCCAGCTGTGTGGAGCGTTGCCGCGCATTACCATGGCAACGCTCCACACAGCATCGCGCGGGACGACAAGGGAGCTGCTTCACAGATCCCTCCCCTTGCCTCCCGACACAGAAGCAGTGCTTGCCACCACCGGACCACCAGGGATGGCTGTGTCCCCCGCCTCCTTCATTAAAGGTAAGAAGGAGGGAGGGATACTGATTTAGCATACTTTTTTTTTTTTTTAAAACACCTTTACCCCAGCCCCACACACACACACAGCACCCCACCCCCACACACAGCACCCCTACCCCCACACACAGTACCCCACCCCCACACACAGTACCCCCCCTCCACCCAGCATTCTTCCCCACCCCCACACACAGCACCCCTCACACACACACAGCCACACCACCCACACACACACACACAACCCACCACACCACCCCACCCCACACACACACACACACACACACACACACACACACACACACACACACACACACCCACCCACACACACACACACACACACACACACACACACACACACACACACACACACACACACACACCACCCCCACACACACACACACCACACACAAACACACACACCACACACACACACACACACACACACAACACCCCTCACACACAAACCTCGTACTCAGCAGTGTGTGTATTCAGCGGACTGTGTGTGTGTACTCAGAGGCAGTCTGTTTGTGTGTGTATTCATCAGTCTTGTGTGTGTGTGTGTATTCAGCAGACTGTGTGTATGTATTGCATTTGTTGGAGATACTAATAAATATAAGCTTAGTTTTATCTATTTATATCATTATTTAAAATTTGTATCATTGAACTCTCTGTTGTTGTGTTCTTTTAAAACAAAAGTTGTTAATTAGTTCGGACAACAGTACGAGTAGTTTTTTCTAAACTTAAACCTCAGTATTGAGGTTTAATTGCTGTGTTGGCACTTTAAGGAACAAAAAGTTGGCATGTATTGCGGTTTGGGCACTCGGGTTCAAAAAGGTTCGCCATCACTGGTCTAGAGTAATAGATCATGATCCAGTTTGTAAAATAGGAGTGAACTGCAGTATGGTCCCTATTTTCACAACATTCTACTCTCTCTCTTGGTCATAACGAGTACCCAGACCACCCAGAGTTAAATAAATTAAAGGCAAACATTCTGAGATCGTAGCAATAATGTCAGTTTCCGCGGCTAGAAGCACAATCCTAGTGTACGGACATCTGTGTTATGAAGATGATGCTACCCGAGCCCCTGACGCGCGCGTTTCGCCAGTCAGCTCTTCAGAGGGGAATCGGGCACAGGTAAGTATCAGGGATTATAAATGCAGGTGTCGAGTTATGATTCGCCAAAAATAATTTGAATTGACCAATGCAAATACGGGTGATGTTTCCTTGCCTGTCTTTCAAAATAAAGTTAAACCTTTGTGATACTTCTATCACTGTGCTAGTGAATACAAAATAAATAATAAAAACAAAATATATAAAGAAAATAAATGCGTTTAAGTTGCTTAGTATGCTCACATTGTATAACAGAATATATACAAGTAATAGTATGAAAGCTTGTAGCCAGTTTGGCCAGATGTCGAATTGATACTAAAGTATCATAACAATTAGTAATCTTATGATAGATACTGTATCCTTTTGGATGTAATCGGTTACCACTTTCTTTGGTCGATGAGAGATAGTGTGTTAGGCTAAATGGGGTGGAATTCTGAAATTTCTATTTTTTTAGAAAATAGTAAGGACAGATATTATTAAGTATTTTATAACTTAGTATATATTTTACAATTGGGATGTTGTCAGGGGTTCATTTAGCAGACTTTTGAGGCGTGACTGCAATTGTATGTGTGGAGTAGCATAACTTATAGATTGGTGTCCAGGATGGAATTAGCCAGTTAGAAATGTTCTATTAATTTCTTAGTTGATGGTAAACATATTTTGCACTGAACACAGGAAAGTGATATCTTCCTGTGATGGTGGATTATTTAGTAGTAACCGTACTAGGAGATTGTGAGTACATATCAATGAGAATAATTATATTTGTCGGAACTAGGTGAAACAAGTTAATATAATACTTGACATGGACTCTTTGTATGTGGCTAAATAAACAAAGAATACACATTTCTGATTACCATGGGAACTCTGGTTGTATAATAACGGGTTATTTTGGAGGAGATATAAAGAATGGCTTATGATTAATTATGGATAAATGGTGTAAAGTAAATTCCTAATTTAGGCCAAGTGGTACTAATGTTTTTAATTCATAAATCCATTTGGATTCCTTATTTAGCAAGGTTAGGTTGAAATTGCCCTTTCTGGTGTTCTGATAAATCTGTTCAAGGATTTGGAAGGACAAGCTAGACAGATCGGTAACGTGAAAATTCCTAACGTGATTGGCCACGGGTGTTGAGATTTTTAAGATTGTGATAGAATTAACATGTAGAATTCTTCTACGAAATTCCTGATATGTTTTACCGACGTATTGGATTTTGCAACTGCAAGTTATCAGGTATACGATTTTGGTAGTGCTGCAGTTTGCAAAATCTCCTATTTTGTAGATCTTTTTCGTGTTGGTATATTCTATTGTCTTAGACGGTTTTATGTATTTACACGCTTTTCAATGTCCACAGCGATAGACTCCTTAGTTTCTGTTAACCATGTTTGTGATGGTTTTTGTGGTTCAAGGTGGCTGTGGACCAATAGATCGCGCAAGAAATGCAACAAACATGGTTAACAGAAACTAAAGGAGTCTATCGCTGTGGACATTGGCCCACCAGTTGATTACTATAGGAAGAAAATTAAAGGGAATTAATATACTAACTACAGTAGTAACCCTTTTCGATTTGTGGAATTCTAGTTGCTGTGGAATGCAAAAGTGAAACAGACACAAGCATACATGCTTACTATGAGTCCCTTTTTTTTGCAGTGCAGCACTAGGGCAAAGAGTGTGTGTTCTTGCTTATTTGTGTTAGACCATTTTTTTTATTATAATAGCATTTAGTTTATGTGAAAAAAAACAAAAAACGGATGCCATTACCATTCGATATTACCAACATATTCTAGAGCAGGCATTGGCAAGCTTTGGCACTCCAGATGGTTTGGACTACACCTCCCATGATTCTTTGCCAGCATTACAGGTGTAAGAGCATTATGGGGGATGTAGTCCACAACATCTGCAGTGCCAAAGGTTGCCTATCCCTGCTCTAGAGTATATGACACCAAGCTGCATTCCTCAGATCAGACATTGCAAACATTTTGACGGTGTCCCAAGGAAAGGAAAAGCAGGCTCTAAGAACTGGTAAATTTGTGTGAGACATTACTCTAAACTAGATAAACTAAGTTAACTTACACAGAGTCTGTAAAGTTTCCTGGGTCCAGGAATCCAGTTAGAGATTCTGATTTTCCCTTCAAGATCTGAAAGAAAGAAAAAGTCAGCACAAATGAGATTAACAGTCTTTAGTTTTGATTGCTAATTATTTATCTAGAGCTTTTTATTATTTATTTAGAGCTAAAGATTTATTGGAGCACTTAATACATCCATAAATTACATATTTTTGGGGTATAATGGCATATGTATTATATGTCTTCCTATACATTATGTACACTTGCCCATCTGCCGCATTCCAGGATTGTGGACTGATGGCTTCCTGTGGATGTCATTTTTTTCCAGCTGACGATAAACATGCACAAGATGTCGCTAGCAAATGCCAGATAGTGCGTGGAAACAACACCTGGAGCAAATTAAGGATTGCCAATGCCCCTATATATAGTGGAACGTTAACCAAGGAGTGGACAATTTTGATAAAAGCCTCTGGCGAAACGTCAAGCGCACACTTATCTGGACTGTTTTAGATCTGACTGGTATTATCTTATTTTATATCTATATTTGTTTGCTATATGTTAAATTTGTTTTTAAAGTATTGTTTAAATAAAAACACTTTTTTAAATACAGTCCATTTAAAATTTTCTATTTTTTTTTTATCATGTGGTTTCCTGTTATCCTGTGTATGCCTGGTGAGGATTTTTACCACCCAAGTTGCATACCACCAGAGTAGGTCTTTGCTCTGGTCTGTGTAAGTGGGATATTCTATTTTTATTTTGACACTTGCTTTTCTACTGTACCATTGGATATTTTTTCTCTCTACATATCCTGCATATCTGATGTGGAGAATCTATACACTTCCTAATCACGTTTTATATCCCAAGACAAGGATTTTATCGTCTGTGCCTTCTACAGCAAACCTCTTAGTAGTTCTATAAAATATGAGTTTTCCCTTGGCCCTTCAATTATATTATTATTGGTATTTATTTTGCACCAGCATATTCCATAGCGCTTTACAATATTATCAGAGGGGGAGATTTAACAATAAATGAGACAATTACAAAAAAATACAGGAACAATAGGTTGAAGAGGACCCTGCTCAAATGAGCTTACAGTTTGGAGGTGGTGGAGTATACAACACAATAGGACATCAGATAGCAATCAAACAAGGTTGGAGTGAAGCAGAGCTGGAGAAGATAACAGAGTGCTGCCCTTTAGGAGAGGGCAAGGGACGGATATGTAAGGTAGAGGTTACACTAGGAGGTCGTAAGCTTTCCTGAAGAGATGAGTTTTGAGACACTTTTTAAATGATTGAAGACTAGGGGAGAGTCTGATGGTGGTAGGCAGACTATTCCAAAGGAAAGGAGCCGCCTGCGTGCAGTCCTGCAAGCGTGAATTGGCCATTAGGGTGCGAGCAGTGGACAGGAGGTCATGGGCAGAGTGGAGAGACTGAGAAGGGGCATACCAACAGATCAGTGAAGAGATATAGGAAGGGCTAGAATTGTTCAGTGCATTATAGGTGTGGATTAGTACTTTGAATGGACTCTATAGGATACAGGAAGCGAATGTAAATACTGACAGAGGGGAGAGGTGTGAGAGGAGCGACAGGAGAGGAAAATCAGTCTGCGCCAGTATTCATTATAGACTAACAGAGAAGTAGCGGGGCAGAATCAATTACGAGAGAGTTACAATAGTCACTTTGAGAGATTGCTAGAACATGGGCAAGCTCCCTAGTAGCATCTTGCATAAGAAAGGGGCGGAAGCGGGCAATGTTTTCAACGTGGAATCAACAGGATTTGGCAACAAACCAGATGTGAGGCCAGAATCAAATATAACACCAAGACAATGCGCTTGTAAGGATGGGCTGATGTGGGTACCACCAACTTGAAGGGAGAGTGAGAGGGAAGGATCAATATTAGGAGGATGAAAGACAAGAGGTTTAGTTTTAGAGAGATTGAGTTTCAGAAAATGGGAGGACATCCAATCAGAAATGGAAAAAAGGCAAGCAGTGACACGATGTAGAACGGCATGTGAGAGGTCCGGGGAGGAAAATTAAATCTGGGTGTCATCGGCATACAAGTAGTATTGGAATCCAAATGAGGTAATAAGTTTGCCAAGATAGGCGGTATAAAAAAAAAAAAAAATAGAAGGGGACCAAGAACAGAGCCTTGGGGGACTCCAACTGAGACAGGAGAAAGGGAGGAGGTATCATTAGAAAAGGAGACCCTGAGATGGGAGGAAAACCACAAGAGGACAGTGTCACGGAGACCAACTCATTGAAGAGTTTGGAGAAGGAGAACATGATCAACAGTGTCAAAGGCAGCAGAGAGGTCAAGAAGAATTAGTATGGAGTAGTAACCTTTGGATTTAGATGCGATTATGACGTTAGTAACTTTAATAAAAGCATTTTCAGTAGAATGGAGGGGGCGGAAGCCAGACTGAAGAGGGCCAAGGAGATAGTTGGAATTGAGAAAGCAAGCCAGATAGGTAAAGAGAAGTCTTTCCAGAAGGTTTGGGAAAAAAAAGAGCAGGGGTACGGGACAATAGTTAGAAGTGAAGGACGGATCAAGAGATGGATTTTTTTTAAGATGGGTGCTACAGTAGCATGTTTAAGGGCAGCAGGCAGTCCAGGTGGTGGGCACACCGGCCCAGGTGGCGTGATCTCCGCTCCTGCAAGTCACTGCATGTAGCATGGCCAAGTGGGTGTACTGCCACCTACCTGGTCTGAGGAAACACAACAAACTACTTCCTGTCAAACCGGGACAGGAAACCAGATCCTCAGCCGTGGACCACCTGCTCAGCCACATGGATGGCGGTGCAGGGGGCAAAATTAGAGGTGCGGAGGACAACAAAATGTAAAGGACTATGAAACATGCAGGAGAGGTGGGAGATCAGTGAAATTTACAGGAGAGGAGGTGGGACAATGAAAGGTACAGGAGGGGAGGATAATGAAAGGAACAGGAGGGAAGGGGGGATAATAAAATGGTACAGGAGTGGAAGGTGGGCAATAAAAGGCGCAGGAGGGGAGGGGGGAAATAAAAGGCGTGGGGGGGACTATGAAAGGTTCAGAAGGGGAGACAATAAAAGGTATGGGGAGGACAAAAAAGGTACAGGAAGGGGGACAATAAAAAGCACAGGGAGAACATTGAAAGGCACAGGAGGGCTGGGGGACACAAAGAAACATACAGAGGGGCACAAAGAGACACACAGAGACTGAGGGGCTACAAAGAGAAACACAGAAGGGCTGAGGGTACACAGAGACTCACAGAGGGGGACAAAGATACACACAGAGGGGGTGAGGGGGGGAAAAACGCACAGAGGGGCTCGGGGGAAAAAGAAGCACAAAGTGGATTGGGGAGAGTAAGAAGAAGCACAACGGGGCTAGGGAGAGAAAGAGATGCACAAAGGTGCTGGGGTAAAAAGACACACACATGTTTTGGGGAGAAAGAGACACACAAAGGAGCGCGGGGGGAGGGGGAGGGAGGAGAAAGAGACACAGAAAAGAGGAGTGGGGGAGAAAGAGACACAGAAAGGGTGAGGGCGACGAAAGACACACAGGTGAAGATACATGCAGCAGGGACTATGTGAGAAGAGAAAGAGCAGTTGAAGATGTGTGTTAAGAAAGGCAAAAGACAAGAAGAGAGAGATCTGATAAGGTGAGACGGGACAAGATCAACTGGGCAAGTGGTGGGGCGAGAGGAAAGGAGCAGCACAGCCACCTCTTGTTCAGTATCCTGGGAGAAAGTCTGAAGGGCAGGAAAGGCATGCAAAGCTATTGGTTGTAAGGTGGGTGGCCACAGCAGGGCAAAAAAGGGCATTAAAGGTATCAAAGAGACACCTTGGATTGTGGAAGCATGAGCGAATGAGAGATGAAAAGTATGACTGTTTGGCAAGGGCAAGTGCTGCTCTGTATGAAAGAAAGATGAAGTTGTAGTGGAGGAAGTCTGGTTACGACACTTCCTCTAGCAGCATTGAGCAGAACGGGAGCATCTCTGCAGGCTGCGTGCTGATTTAGTGAGCCACAGTTGGGGGCATATTGCCATACGAAAACTCATTGGATTAATCTGCTAGAGCATACTGTGTGAATATCAGGCATTGAAACAAAATTATAGGTTATGGTGACATCATTGTCTTGTACTTACAAAGGAAAGAGTTTTTCGAGTTTCAAACTTTTGTCAAAAGAGAATATTGGATAGAAAAAAAAAAGTTTAAAAAGTTAGTTTGGTGTTCATAGGTTTAGCTACCATTCAATAAATAAGTGACAAACCTTTTTCTCGAACAGTTTGTGGATATAAGGCTTCCAGAAATGTTCCTTAATGCCCTTGGCCTCTAGAAGTAAACCATTGTGGAGGCTACAGAGGGTTTCAATGATGCAAGGAGGTTCGGAAGGGGGTTTGTAGTCTTTACTTGGGAAATCTTCAGGTAAACCTTCAGAGGAAATGAAATAATCACAATACATAGAACACATCAACTAGCGTTTGCGTATAATGATGTAACAGGAAAGAGAGTGGAAAGGATGTAACACTTTTTTAGTAAGACACACATCTCATTGGTCAATTATACTGTAAATATATATTTTTCCCCATAAAGTATAACTGCAAATATGCTATTATATATTGTATAGTATGTATACTATAATAGAGAATAACTTCTCAACTAGATTTCTGGAATCTTCCTGACACCAGTTAATTTTTGAGAGTATCCCCCATATCCAGACCCTTCTGTCCCTGAGCCTCACGGAGGTCGTTGCACCAAAGAGTCTCTTTCTACTTGCATTGAAGCAAACAAAGAAATTATGAAAAATATTAAATTTTATCCTCTTTAAATAGACGGCTAAAGAACGGTAATGATTTTAGTGGAATAGTTAACTATAGTCCTAATTTATTTCAGTTTCCTATATTGTCAATTACCTTTAAAAAAAAAAAAGAAAACACAAAACAAAAAACAACAACCCTCAAAACCATTAGTATGCATCGTGCAGTTTATACCTGTGAAGTTGGTGTTCAGCAGCTCCCGCCGGTTGGAGCACTGCAGGGCGTTACCATAAACAAGATCCAAGGCACAGAGCAAAAGGTGATATGAGTTTACCAAATCATCACTAATCATTGGAAAGTTTCCTAAAAAAAGAAGACCCGGAAAATATTAGATTTCAAAAGATAAAAACCAAAAACAAGAATGTAAACAAAAGATTAGTTTAGGTCAACTAATGCAATCCTGTTTCCCAGCAATAGACATGGGCAGCAGCAAAAGTTGTGTTTAGAACTAAGCGTTTTTTGAAATACCCCAAATATATCTGCTCTGGACAATGCTTTTTTGAGATGTTCAGGCAACACAATGAATGAGCACAATAAGAAACACAGGGGGAAATTTGTAGTGGTACAGCGGTTAGATGCTCACCACAGAAACCATCAAATCAACCGGAATCTTCCACCGATAGTCACACCTCTTCCTTTTTTCCAAACCACTTTTCAGATCACAACATTTTTAGAACTCTCCCCTCTGTTGTCCACAGTACATACTGCTTAGAAATTAGGATTTGATACAAGATTTCAGAATTGCTTATTTATTGAACTTTCTTTCAGGCCAGATGGAATGACTTCTAATGCCACAATATTGGCATGTGTAAGGGGTGTTGGAAACTCTACCCCATAGATCAGAATGAGTGACTGCTGATTGGTGGATCCTCTTCCTGGTGAGGGAGGGGCTAGCCTGTAGCAACAGATAGTCAACTTTCAGCTTTATTTATTTATTGGATATTTGTTAATGCATTCTCTATGTAATACATTAAAATGTTTTGCCTGAGGTTTCCCTTAAAAGTCTAACAAAAAAGAGAAAATGTACTCTTCCATATAAAGGTGATAAAATGCTATATGTTTTTATAGTTTCCGATCTCCCCCTATCTTTGAAGCATTGTGCTTTGATCATAGAACTGTCAGAATAACACTAGAAGCTTTGGATATTAGTACATTGTATTTGCGAACATTGTTTGCTATATCAGGTTCAAATAAAAAGATACTGGAAAGGAATAAAATTGTTTGTGCATCTGTGTGGCATACGGTGGTTTAGTGCTGCAATAAGTTGTACTTTTGGTTGACTTTGTTTATGTATATCATTCACTTGTCTGGCTGGTCATGTGACATCTACTTCCTGTTGGTTAAAGTGAAATTTAAAACCGACAATTTACCAACACGTAGAAATGCAAAACTTGTGGAATAGACAAGATTATTTTCTCCAAAGTTATTGCATTTAAAAAAGTAAGATAACATTGTAATTACCCAAGAGTGCTCTGCCCAGATCTACTAGAATTTATATTCACACATACAATCTTATGTTTGATTGCATATGCTCAATATTTCTCTAAATAGTATCAGCAGGAAACGTTATAGTGATATCTTAGCCACTTCCTGACTGAAGTAGTATGCGCATGTATAATGACCCATTAAAGAGGAACAGTCACTTCACCAATCACTACATCATCAAACAAAACATGAAAATGACCTATAACTCGTTTTAACCTCATTTGTTTGTTTGTGTTCATGTATTTTCTTTTAAATGTATACCAACAGATTTAACAAACTACCCAGTCCAGGCACAACCAGAGCAATCGAAAAGGAGAAAACGGTTTCCTTTCTCCTATTCTCTGTATGCTTTCTCTATGCAGTTAACCAAGTAAAAAGGACAGAGTTTATAACAATGACTGTCAGAGAGCTAAGATGGAGGAGCCTAGTTGCAGGATAAAAAGCTGTGCATTTATAAATTAAAGCGATTCTCTGGACACTGATAAAACTTTAATGAATTTGATAGATTTTGGCCTGATTAATATGCTGTATTTTTTTGCATTCTCAGGTCTTAATAGAATTCTGCCTGCTTCCATAGCAAGAAAGACTTCCTTAACAAAAGTATGCATACAGTCTCAGCGCCAACAGCAACTATAGGTCATTCAATACCCTTCAATGGAAGATTTTGACGACGTACCCTAAATGCACTAGCGCCATAGAAAGCTCACCCAGAGGGTGCGTGACCTATAGCTGCTCTGAGCAAGCAGCATATGAGGAGAGCTCCATTTATTCTGTAGGCCTACACCAACTGATCGGCGCTCTGGAGTGCACAACATGGAATAAAAAGTTTCAAATACGTGGGAAAATATCTACCGAGCAAGTAAATGGCTCCGCAAACACCCTAGACAAGTCGGGAGACCCCCTGCATGGCAGGTGATTCCAAACGATGGAAGCTCAAACGTATGCAAGATGGTGGCTACGTGGAGACCATCAGATATCGTATAGGTGGGTATACCTAACTAAGCTAATCATCTGGACAAATGGCTCCATGGCAATAGCGAACAATGAGTACGGCCAATAACTATTGAAATCCTGGAACATCGTAGCAGAGTCTCATCTCTTTCCAAATGAGATATCAACTCTTCCCAAGGTTCCCCATCTCTGGAAAATGGCTAACAAGGAGACTGACCAATGCACACCTGCGAACCTGGTGACCTCCACCCCGGTAGGGACTTAGTTGTTAATTTACGTATGCCCTCTAAGAATCTAAGGTTCACCGCATGAGTCACATAAGCAAGTAATTTTGGTTTGTGCCCACAATATTTTAACACACACACAAAAACCCACATACACAAAAAAAAAAAAAAACAACAACCCACAATGTACATTTTGCCTATGGTATACAAGTTGAACCATGCATAAAATAAGTTAATGCCTCTTTTATGATGTTGCCTGTTTACAATTAGGCTGTAAGGCTTATTTATATGCATGCACCATACATCTTTGGTTCATGCACATTATCTGGGCATAGGTCAGGCGTGGTATTTGTACGTAGGCCCATTCATGGACCCGCACCCCTCCCCCTAAATGTGCTGAGTCACCTGATCATTCACACCCCTCAGACCCAGGAGTTACTATCAGCTCACACAAAGTTAGTATGTCTAATATGTATGTTTCACTGTTTAGTATGTACTGTTTCTTACGTTGTTATGCTTTGTGGCATGTCAATTGTTTTTTTTCCCTCCTCTCGGCTATCCCTCCCTTGCAACTCCGAATGTGGGATACTCCAAAATATCTTCTATTGCCAGCTGCCGAGTTAAAGGGACACTGCAGATCCCTAGAGCACTTTAGCTTGCTGAAAAGCTTTGTGTGAATAGTGTGTCCTACTTTTTTCATTTTACAAAAGGTGCAGATTTCAATTAAAGTGTCCCTAGACTTTTAAGCAGACAACAGCTCCTGATTTGGTTAGCTCAAGTCAAGAAGCAACAATTGCTCAGAGCACCTGCCTTGCAAAAACATCCTATTGTGTTGCATTTGAAAGTTTGTGATTGGACAGCCACAGAATGTCTGGGCAGGGTTAGAAGTGAAGGACTTGCAATGGCAGCAGACAAGAGGAATGTCCGTTTTGCAAGCTGTTTTAAGATATACTCCCAATGAAAAGATGCATAACTAAATGCATGCATCTTGTCATTTGGGGTATATCTATTAAACAGTGATTTTGATTTATTTTGTATTTTTGGCAGTGGAGTGTCCCTTTAGGCAAAATCCTCATTATCCCTTCATGCTACCCTTCTAATATATACTATGACCACAAAGGGGTTTAATAGCCGACACAAGAAAAGATTGGCCCTCTTGGATGCTAGAAAAGCATGAGTGTCAATCATATGTATACAAGGAACGCATTTTAGTTATGTCAACCCTACCAAATTTCATGTCTAAACATTACCCCACTGTCTTCCATGCTTACTCCCCAAAGAAAACAAAATACTCTATCTTGCTCTACAAAGATTGAGCCTTTCAAACCGACCACATACACATAGATCCTGATAGCAAGTTGCTGATTCTTGACGGGCTCTTAAATAATGACAAAACTTCAATGCTCCCAAGGTCAGATTTCTTTTCCACAACAAACGTTTCATAAATTTATCTCCATGAAAGAAGGGAGTCAGATATCCCTGAAGAAGTCTACCAAGACGAAACGTGTTGGCTATACTTATTGGGAGGACTCCGGGTTCGTTTGTTCTGGGACGCTATTATCTTTTTTTCCATCAATTTATTTTATGGTTTTATTTTCACACACACGGCTGGCTCCTAGACTCATCGGCATTGTCCAGACCCCCTGAATGCAGAGATCTGTTTGTTTTTTATTTTTATCCTGTAAGTACAATCTAAATAAATTTGGTGTTTTATAGCTACCATCTTCACTATTTCTGGCTTTCTGCTTTCTTTACAAGTTCGAAAGTATCATCCCTCATCTGGAACAGACTCATCTCATACGCTGATATTAGGATGATGGGCTTGCATTTATCCATGTTCTTGTGAGTGAAACATATACTGCGGGTTATTTGTCACCTGATTATATTAACCTATGTCAAGTTTGTTTCCCTCCTAGTATCCGGAAACATTGACTTTGTTGTCGATCAAGGTGGTATTTCCTCCTAAATTTGGGAGATATAATTCGCTTTCATTTACACCCTACTTATTTGTAGGTTTAGTTTCTTAGTTGATCGGTGTATAGAGGGCACATTTTTTAAGTAGGTGTTTGACATTTTGCATATAGTGGTTATATTGCTTTTGTTGTATTTTCTATGAAAGAAGGGAGCCTAGTTATTCTAGGAGATTTAGCTGTACACGTGATCCAGAGATAGACACCACACATGAGTCTTGGAATCATCCCCCAGGCAAGCACTATCCCTAAATACAAACTTGAGAGATCTTGTGTTTAAAAATGAACTACACATCTGGAGAGAATCAAATCTTCAGGAGCGACACTATACTTTCATCTCTCAGATGCACAAAAATACCTGAGAATTGACCTCTGTCTAATGGAGTCTGCAACCATACCATCCCACATTATTGGTCAAGATCAATCACATGGTTGGACCATGCACCACCATAGATCATAATGGCAACATTACATCTCGAATGGGGTCACATGAATGATACCATCCTGTCAATAGCCAGTCCCTACAATCTGCAGTTTGCAATACAAGAATATTTTCAACTAAATGCATCCTATGAAATGCCTCTTCCCTATGGGTGGCTCACAAGGCCGTACTACGTGGAACCATTATTCAGCAATGCTCCATACGTAAGAAATTTTAAAAAAACAACAAAAAGTTCTTGCAGAACTTCAAGCCCAACTCGAATAACTAGAGACAAAGACAAAAGCACGTCGAAATCACTGCGATCTCAGAAAGCCTGTCCAAATTCATGGTCAGCTGCAGCAACAGCAACTCCAGCAGACAGAAGCCCACCTGAGAAAACTCAAACTCACATATGACACCAAAGGCAATAACGCCAACAAACTTCTTGCTTGCAGATTAAAAGTTAAACAACTTCTTTATAATCTATCAGCTGACCCCAAAACACACACACAGATGTTCAACTATTTCTGCACCACAGGAATTTACCCACAAAGAAATGCTCTCAGCTACAAGAGTAACACTACCGAAACCAAGAAAATTTGAGTACTTGTACCAATCTTCACTCTTTTTTTCTTAAACACTAAAATCTCACTAAACACCAAAATCTTAGCCTATTAACTAAACCAGTTTCTGCTATCTCTTATTTCCCCAGAACAAGCAGGATTTGTTTAACATAGACAAGTTTCAGACTCGTAACGCAATTGCTCTTATTGGAATAGCCATATGACAAAGTGCCCCTTGCTTGGTCCAAGCCCTTGATGCTGAAAAGGCGCTTTACAGGATAAACAGATATTTTGAACCTGAACATGTTCCCCTCCACCAAAGTCTCCACCTGAGGTTTTCTTTCTGAACCATTCCACATTTTAATGGGAGCCGTCATAGGTGTCCGCTATCCCTGCTAATTTTCATCCTCGCCATAGAACCATTAGTTCTAGGACACTTCCCAGGACATCACCAGGCATCTTGACCTTTGCAGGTCAGCACTTAATATCCCTTTTTGCGGACAACATTTCACTTACTCACAAACCCACAAACTTCTCTCCAAGCACTGGGGAAAAAAAAAATATTAGAAACTTTTGGTCAAGTCACATACCACAAAAACACTCTTACCAAAATACAATCCCTCCCAATAGATCTCCCCAGAATAAGGTCACAGCACTCCAAGCAGATATCGTTTGAGTGGTGCACGACAACACTAAAATAAATTTATGGTCCTGGGTAAATCGCAGCAAGACTGGTAATTCGAGGACACTACTCCAAACTACTCAACCAACTGGCAACCTTGTACAAACAGTGAGAAAAGGTGCCTATCTTGGACCGTGAAAGTGAGTGCACCCCCCCCCCTTGCCCTATATTTGTTTCCAAATTTCCTTTTAAAAAATTCCAGAATCAAGCGTACTCTTTTATTTGGAAAAGAAGGACTTCTAGAGTGAAACAGTTTAAATCATATTTTACTCTACTATGGCAGAAAAGAAACATTTAGTATAAACATTTTTTATATAAGATCCAGGTGGCGCACTGGAGGAAATCCTCCCTCTAAGTCACCAGGTGGATCCAGCCTGGTAATTTTTTAAGGATAATTTACTAAAGTGAGAATTGAAACTTAAAGTTAAAGTTAATTTCAAATGTAAAGAGACATTCTGGTCACCATAACATGAATGAAGTTGTTATGCTGCCAAGCGGACCCCGGCACACGCTTCCCTTAAGGGATTAAACTAATCCGTAGCTCCCCATTAATAAGAAAAGAAATGTACCTTTTTTTTATCAATGGGAAGCTACGGATTGGCTTAGAGTGGCAGCTGACTGCTCTAGCCAATCAGCGGCGCCACTGCTCAGCGTAACTCTGCGCTTCCTGTAACAGATTCAGGATGTTGCTTGGGGGACTTGGAGATGGGCACTCGAGGCAACTTCTGGGGTTAAACCTTTCTCAAAACAGTATAACCCCTTAAGGTTAGAGTGCTCCCTGGTTGCCTTCTGGCACCATAACAACTTCATTTAGATGAAATAATCATGGTGACCGGAGTGTCCCTCTAAGGTTAGAGTAGCCAAACTGGAAGTATAGATGGTTTAGTAAATGTTTCCAGCTAGGCTCTTTCTGGCTTTAATTTGAAATTCACTTTGAATTCTCACTTCAGTGAATAAACCTGTTTGTTTTTATTGTGCTACCACTCTCCCTCCCTTGTTCTGCTGCTCCATCATTACGCCGAACAATTTAAGTGAAGCAGGGATGGTGATTTTCAGAAGGATTGATTGCTGGAAGTTCTCAGGAGAAGCATTTGGTGGGGAGAACATGTGTGGCTCTATGGCTGACAATGGAATTTATTAACTAAACTGGGAATGGTGAAGAACAAGGAGGGGGGATGAAAACTTTTTTGCCAAAAGAGCAACGGAGTCTGAGAAATGCTACTACTTTGGCCTTGTATTTGAGATTCACTTTGAATTCCCAACAAATCTTACTTTAGTAAATAAACTCCGTCAGTGTTTTATTAACCCTTTGATGGCCAGTGACATAATAGTCATGCCAGGATTAAATTCTTCCTTGTTCAAATGTCTTTCTTTTTTTTTTTTTTTACACTAGCGTCCTGTCCCAATGTTTAACACTATTTATTGTTTTACTAACCCCTCCAGCACATATACATATTAATACATATACAAAGTTACACCTGCCAGAATAACTCTGCACACTTGTACCTTTTATACCACTATATACCGCCATTACTCTGTATCAAGCACCCTGTCTAGTGACACTGTATGAAAAATAGAAAATCAGTAGGTTTACCTCTAATAGTACGTGTCCTGGATTTATCCTGTCATCTGTCACCAGTAAACAGGAACAAACTGGGACAGCTGCAAACTCTTGTCTAACACACTAAATTGGATTTGCTTGAAGCAGGGGCTAGCCATGTGACTAGAATGCTGTTCCTTATTGGTTCTTGAAGTGATGGCATTATAATACAAACAAGCCCAAACTTGCCTTCTGTGTATAGTTGCTATGATAGTGATGCAGAATCTCTGTTTGCTGGCTTTAAGTGTAGGGTATTTAAACAGCCAGACTTAATGGTTTAAAAATCATTGCTTAATATGCTTTGTGTTAAGGTAACTTAGTCTTATGTATTGTTTGTGCAGGACTTAAATGTATAGTTTATACTTTTTTTTCTTGTTTACCTGTTCTGGATAATTATTAGTGAAAACTAAAAAGTAAACATTTAATTGACAGAAATAAAAAGGGCAATAGTCAAGGACTATTTTTTCATTTTTGTCAATAGATTTCCTCCGATATGAAAAAAAACATTACTTATTTTGTCACAGTGGTGGTGATAACAACAATGGTTTGCGTAACACTATATACTTTCTAAGACTAATTTTATTTTTTTTAATTCGTAATTTCTCTGAACAATTGTTCATAGCTGAAAATTTAATTCACAGTGTTAAAATGTAATATTTCCTGATTGACACGACTTGAACATTCCTCTGGCTTTCTTTAGACTCACCCAATAATATTTTTCAGCCTGGGGCACGCTCCCCATAAGTCTCATCAGACTGTTAGATTTAGCATTTCACAAGCTGAAGAATGTTAGTCCTGTGAAAGGCTAATGAATAATATAGAGCAAATCTCTAACATACTTCAAGCCAATGACTGACTCACTTCATACCATATTTCAACCAATGACTGACTCACTTCATACCATATTTCAACCATCACCGACTCATCTCATACCATACTTCAGACCATCACTGACACACTTTATACTATACTTCAGCCCATCACAGACTCACATCGTACAATACTTCATCTGATCACAGACTCACCCCATACCATACTTCAGCCGACCACTGACTCGCCTCGTACAATACTTCAGCCGATAACAGACTCACCTCATACAATACTTCAGCCATCACTGACTCACCTCATACAATACTTCAGCCATCACTGACTCACCTCATACCATACTTCAGCCATCACTGACTCACCTCATACCATACTTCAGCCATCACTGACTCACCTCATACCATACTTCAGCTGATCACAGACTCACCTTATACCATACTTCAGCCTATCACGGATTCATCTCATACCATACTTCAGCCATCACTGACTCACCTCATCCCATACTTCAGCCAATCACGGACTCACCTCATATCATACTTCAGCTAATCACCGACTCACTTCATACCATTCTTCAACCATCACCGACTCATCTCATACCATACTTCAGCATATTATATACTCTCCCCATAACATTATTCAGCTTTCCAGGATACCCTCTTACCATAACATTCATCATTACTGAATAAAGGACCACTAAAGACATCCAGACCACTTTATTTCAATGAAGTGAGCTGCGTGCTATGGTTCTCTAGTTTTGCATTGCCGTTTAGCAGATCTGACGATGTTCACATTGCAAGGTTAAATACATCTCTAGTGGCAGTCTACCTGACAACCACTAGGCCTTAAGAAGTGAGAACCAAGTCAATCACAGTTCTCACATCCAGCCCCCAGTAAGAGCATAGTACAACGCATACATTTTTAGCCTACAATGCTCCTCTATATTGGACTATTAGATGTGCCTGCATGACGTCGTGGGAGGCAGGACGAGCGGCTGCAGGAGTTGATCTTGGCACTGGAAAAAAAATAGCGGCAATACCTTTTTTTCCCAGTTTTTGTTTATATTCAAGGGTTCCCTGGATCTAAATAACGAGAGCAACATTACAGGGCAAAGAATACAGGTTTACTATAGCGTAAGCAATACAATCTCCAACTCAATCCCAGAGAAGCATCGCTCAGTATGAGCCAGCTAGTTAGACATTCCCCCTTCTCAAAAAAAAAAAGCCTCCCCCCCCCCCAAAAAAGCCACTTTATTCGTAACCCTTTCTCTTTTTATCTTAAAGTTACAATACCCAAAACCTAGCACAAGGTAAAGCAGACAAGGTTACTTTTGTCTTGTGTTCATAGGTTTTCACGACAGCTGTAAATTCTAGAATATATCATTAACTAGTAGCTATAAACACAGAATGGTCCTCTCATCGGAAACCATTAAAATTGTGAAATGTAAAGATGTGCCCAGACATGTAAATGCATTCCATTACTACATTGGAAAGAAGACAAGGGTTAGAGTTTCTACAAAGGACAAAGGTCTCGATTTAGTAAGCTTTCCAAATGATTCAATACTGTTAGAAAAACTTTCCAAATTATTTATGTACAGACACCACCATAAAAGTCCTTGGGAATTTTTGTAAAATTAATCATATGATATTTACAAAAATCTTTTGTGTTTTTTTAACAGATTTTTCCATAGTTAATTCAGCACTTCTGCATACTATTAATGCTATTACCCCTTTACTATTGAGCACTTTTAAATTGAAAAAAATATTAGCATAACATTTATTTGAAGCAAGGCATGCATTGGCAGCATATAAACATACCATAACACAGCAAATTTGTGCATAGATTGCATTGAACACAAATGTAACAATTAAAATTATGTAAATTTACCCAATATTTTGTTTTCACTTATTCATTCAGACTTTATAAAATATCTGGGAAATGAACTGCTTTAGACAGTATACAGCATCCTTTGTCTTACAATATTCCAGAAATGTTGAAATGTTAGCAGAAAAGCAAAATGTTCTCACATACAGTGAATGTGACAAAAATAGATAAATAAAAATTGCCCAATACCTTTGTGATCGGTATGTGCAAGGACGCTGAAGGCAGTACAGCTTACTAAAAATGGCAAAAGAATGTAAAAAGAATGTCTGCATTTGAGCACAAGGCCCACATACAGTAAATACAGTTAAAAAAAAAAAAAAATAGAAAAAGGTATTGAAAACTGGTAAAGGAATCTTTATCAGTCTCTGGAATTTTAGTATAATGATGACATTGAAATAGCAGGATCCATTCACTCCTCCCACCTACCTGACCATAGAAATGTTACAACCCATTGAAATTTCCTGAACTGTTCAAAAACAGGGGGTGAGCTTACATTGTCAGCAACTTTACAGGCGTTTTTTCAATGACTACGAGCTTCTGGCAGAGAAATTAATTCCTCTATAGGCTGGTAATTATAACTAGACTATAAATAAGGGTGATTAAGACTTAATGGACTGGATTTCATACAGCAAAATGCATGAATATGAAAAGAAAAAATGTAAAATTACTCACGCAATCAATTCAGCAATTATCTGCTTCTTGGAATTAGCTCCACTGGGCTAAATAACCAGGAAGTAACAGGACCATCTGTCTGATATACAGCAAAGGGTGGTGTAACAAGGTTAATTTGTAAAAATGCCACTTTTTATTGAAATCTGTACTTTTTTTAAAAATGAAACAAAGAGGACAACACAGAGTATTTCAGCAAGCTAAAGTGTTTTGTGTGGGAGGAGTGGTTCTTTAACTAGTCTTCAGAATGATTAGGCTGAAAATAAATTAAGTGGGTTGACACAGTCCCCCTTTATTGTCCCTTTATTATTTAGAACATGGTTCCCCAAACTCTGACCCTCCAGATGTTGCTGAACTATAACTCCCATGATTCGTTGAATGAAATAGATAGCCAGAGAATCATGGGAGTTGTAGTTCAGCAGCATCTGGAGGGCCAGAGTTTGGAGAACCCTGATCTAGACTATGTTTAGTTATCCAGGAGTAATGAGTATGCATTCTGGTATAGAGCTACAGAAACTGAGAGAAAGCAGAAGTGCAGTACCTTTAGTATAGATAAACAGCACCCAGCAGAACTGAAAGACCTCAGACACTGTACACGGCTGGCGCCTAAAAATCAAAAGAAAAATCATACATTTATACAGCAAGTCACCATCATCTAATTCAGTTCACCATTGAGTAAACCACTTAAAATATTCTAGAATTTGTGAAAACCTATTTTTCCATGTGGTGCTCTGTTTTATTTTAAATGTATATTAAATATTAAGCGAAATTACATCACAATCCTGCTAAAGAGACACTATAGTCACCATAACAACTACAGCTTATTGTATTTGCATTCCCTCCAGGTTTTCAGAGAAATAAAAACAGTGTTTACATTACAGCCTAGAGATAACTCGACTAGAGTGTGCAGCGCTGACATTCAGTGTCTCCACCCTCTGCATGGAGACACTGAACTTTCCTCATCAAGATGCAATGATTCAATGCATCTCTATGAGGAGATGCTGATTGGCCAGGGCTGTGTTTGGCTTGTTCTGGCTCTGCCCTGATCTGAAGCATTGACAATCTCAGCCAATCCAATGCTTTCCTATAGGAAAGCATTGGATTGGCTGAGAGAATCACGTTACATTATGTCAGCCAAGCAGGCAGATCAGAACCAGCAGCAGCAGACTGGAGTAAATGTAAGATTTTACTATGTTTAGGAGGGCCGGGGGGGTAGGGGTGGAGGGGAGAGAGGCGGGGCTAGATGGTGTTTTTAACACTATAGGGTCAGGAATACATTTGTGTTCCTGACCCTACAGTGTTCCTTTAAGTCCAGGCTTAGCCAGGGCAAACACTGGAAATATGAAGGTAAAATAAAAGCACTGTGGGATATTTATCAAAGTGTGGATGACACTTTTATGTCTAATTTTCCGTAAATGTTTAGTGCAATTTATTAAATCAGTCAGATTTGTGCGTTGTTGCTTCTTTTGCGTTCTGACCATCATTTTTCAATATACACTATTTTTCCAGTGGGGCAATTAATTTTTCTTAATTTTTTTTTTCTTCCATTTTAAATTTGGCAGGTTTCACAGACAGACATTTCTAGGGGAATTTACTATAAGGAAAACCAGCACTTTTTAGATCAGTTTTCAAAACACATTAATGCATATGATTATACTGACTGAATTTAGCCACTACTTTTCAGAACACTTTGATAAATATCTCCCATTGCTTCATTTCTCCTCTTCTGTTCTCTCTATGCCGAATACCAGGTGCAAAGGAAAAAGCCTATAACAATGCTTGACAGAGAGCCAAAATGGAGGCACCCAGGAACGGGATAAAGAGGTGTATATTTCTACATTTAATATTATTTTTGACACCTCACATCAAAGATTTATTAAACATACAAATACATAATATTAACATTAAAAAAAAAACCTAGGAAGTGGCAGTTCACCTATAATGATATTTAATGTCTTCAGCACACTGTTCTCAAAAGAATCCGTCCACGCATGGAATATCCCGTTTGTTTAGTGTGACACTCCCTTTTATATATAGGATGTTATATATTATATTGTAAGGTTCTTGTTTCAACCAACGTAAACTAATTATATTAGTTGGAACATTGAACAACCTGTGTGGTTCAATGTATCTTAATATTTAAAGGTTTCATCCCAAATACCAATAAAAATCACTGTTTGGTAAATGTACTTCAAATGAAAACATACATGCAAGCAATTAAGAAATTGTACATTGAGGGTGTATCTAAAATGAAAGATCTCATCTGCTGCCTCTGCCTCTCCACTTCTTAGACTATCTGTGGCTCTCCAATCACAGACTTCCCGATGCAGTGCAATGAGAAGTCTTTGCAAGACAGGTGCTCTGAGTAATTGCTGCCTCTTGAGTTTAGCTTCACTGAGCTAAACAACCAGGAGGTAACAGGACTTGTTGTCTGCTTGAAAGTCAGGGGGTGTAACAAGGTTAAAGGGACACTCCAGGCACCCAGACCACTTCTGCCCACTGAAGTTGTCTGGGTGTCAACTCCCACTACCCATAACCATGCAACTGTAATTATTGCAGTTTTCATAAACTGTAATAATTACTTTGCAGGGTTAAGTCCTCCCCTAGTGGCTGTCTACTAGAGGGCAGTTCCTGGTCCATAGCACAGGTTTTCTGTGCTATAGCGTCGTTGGACGTCCTCATGCTGTGTGAGGACCTCCAGCGTCGCTTAAATCCCCATAGGAAAGCATTGAAAAGCATTTTCAATGCTTTCTTTCCTATGGAGAGGTCTAATGCGCATACGCGGCTTTGCCGCGCATGCGCATTATGTCTCCCCAGCTGGCGGGCGTGATCAGTCTCACCCGCCGGCTGACGTGATGAAGGGGAGGAGCGGAGGAAGAAGCAGTGACAAGGGACATCGTCGCTGCCTTTGGTACGTGACTGAAGGGGTTTTCACCCCTTCAGCAACCGGGGATTGGAGGTGGGAGGGAGAGGGGACCTGCAGTGCCAGGAAAACTGATTGTTTTTCCTGGCACTGGAGAGTCCCTTTAATTTTTAAAAGTGCCAATTTCTATTGAAACCTGCACATTTTGTAAAATGACAAACTGATGACACACTCTTAACACATAAAGCATTCCACTAAGCTAAAGATGTTTTAGGGGTCCTGGTTGTCCCTTTAAAGCTTGAAGCACATGTGGGCAATAAGTGGCTGTTCAAATAGGTCAACATTGCTTTCTCCTCACATTGGGCAGCATGTATATACCGTTATTTTTACAACATAATTTAATTTACAAATTGCAGTTTAGGACAAATAAGGGTCTTATGTACAAGCTGTTTATTTCCCCCCAAATGTGACAAAACAAAGATCTATCCCCTAAGCACCATAACCCCTATATGCAATTATGGTGGTGGTGCAAGGAGTCCTTTGGCACCAACTTCAGTGTACTAGTAAACCATTTACAAACTATGTAATTCTTACCTGCCTTTATCAGGCACCTGTGGTCCTTTCGGTCTGCACCGATATGCTAAAGCAGAAATTCATACCTCCAATTTAGTATTCATACTTGCTCTTTAGGAAAGCTGATGGCCTCCCAGAGTAACCTCTACCTCTACCTGTCCCTTGCTCTTTCCTAAAGGGCAGCACTTTGCTCTCACCTACAGCTCTGCTTCACTCCCCCCTTATTTGATTAATATTTCCTGTCCTAATGTGTTTTATACCCCACCTCCTACAGACTGTAAGCTTGTTTGAGCAGGGCCCTCTTCAACCCTTCGTTTCTGTAAGTTTTCTTGTAATTGTCCTATTTAAAGCTAAATCCCCCCACTTATAATATTGTAAAAGCGCTACGGAATCTCTTGCCATTATATAAATGGCAATAATAATAATAATAACAATAACAACAACAGTATAACATCATTGATTGGTTGAGAGCACCACATTAAAAATGGCTACAATAAAACTGACAACCTCTTTTTGTAAAAGCTTAAAAGGTTATACTTGCTGCTGTTGAGGACCTAAGGTGTTTAAAGGGAACAATAAGAATTTATATCTCCTGCTGGTATGGCAGTCTGCTGTGAGGAAACTGAATATATATGAAAGACAAACTATAGGAACTGTCCCATTGTACAGCGCTACGGAATTTACTGACGCTACATAAATAATAATAATAATAATAATAGGATCAAAATCCAACAGATAAGCATGTGTTCTGGCAAGCGCAATGTTCCAATATAAAGCCATTACCTGCAAATTGCCAACTTTTGCATGGAATGCCCACTTTAATAGATTAAGGGTGATATGCAGTCTAGGACAATACGCAATACTGAAAATGCTTTTTAATTCATCTCCATGAGTGGCTGGATGCCCTCAGTCTCGCACACCTTCCTCTACCTAGCAGTACACACCTTTGCTTCCGTCCTCTGTGCTGCCGCGGTTGTTCTTCCTGTGGATTTTTGAAAATCTTCTGAAATATTGGAGCATATTTCTGGAACAGCACTGCTGTGACGGTGAAGTTCCGTTCCAGTTTCTCAGTCCGCTCGCGAAATTCATCAGGCAGACTGGCCATGTCCTCCCACTTCTTCATCTTATTAAAAAACTCTATTAAACTAAAAAAAAAAAAAAAAAAAATTAGATTTTGTCACTAATGTTGATGATTTAACATGCTTTGTTTTTTTTTGCAAAATTATAGCGAAACTGCCATTTAGGCAAGAGTCCAGCTGTTTAAGGTTCCCTGATATTTTGCTATTTCGGAACAAACCAAAACTATGTTTTCTCCTATTAGTGAAGCAAGTGGGAGATAATTTATTGGTCGAAGTAAATGTTCAAGTGTCTCAAGGACAACATTATACAGAGAACACACACAAAATATGCCAATAAAAAAAAAAAAACAACAATAAAAAAAACCTTCTAAATATTACTTCTTTGAATATTTTCACAAGCAATTTGATCATTCGATAATTGTGTTGAGTGAAAGCAGGAACTGGCTGGGGTCTCTAAGCCAATCCTTGGACTCCCATTGCATTCCGTGATTGAAATAGTATGTGCACCTACGATGATACATGCAAGCATATGCGGTACATTTTTGAAGACTCTCCTGTTTTACTAGTTTCTTTCATTTATCATTCACTTGCTGGAGTGTGTTACTTTCATTATCTTTTCCAGCGTAGGAAATGCCCCTTGACGTAAATTACAGCAATAAAAAGATTTTCACAAGGGTTTTAGAGCAGCAAAGAACTATAAGAAATGTACAGGGGTTTGATATTTTACATCCATCTGGAAGTGACAGATCAAAGAGCAATTAAAGTGTTCACAGTGAACTACAATAATTTATGATCCTCGGACGTCAAATTACCTCGTTTTGCACACCACAAGCGGAGTGCCACTCTAAATCCTACACGATATATTGACAGAAGCGAGCTTGTTAAAGGGACACTATAGTCACCTGAACAACGTTAGCTTAATGAAGCAGTTTTGGTGTATAGAACATGGCCCTGCAGCCTCACTGCTCAATCCTCTGCCATTTAGGAGTTAAATCCCTTTGTTTATGAACCCTAGTCACACCTCCCTGCATGTGACTTGCACAGCCTTCCATAAACACTTCCTGTAAAGAGAGCCCTATTTAGGCTTTCTTTATTGCAAGTTCTGTTTAATTAAGATTTTCTTATCCCCTGCTATGTTAATAGCTTGCTAGACCCTGCAAGAGCCTCCTGTATGTGATTAAAGTTCAATTTAGAGATTGAGATACAATTATTTAAGGTAAATTACATCTGTTTGAAAGTGAAACCAGTTTTTTTTTCCATGCAGGCTCTGTCAATCATAGCCAGGGGAGGTGTGGCTAGGGCTGCATAAACAGAAACAAAGTGATTTAACTCCTAAATGACAGTGAATTGAGCAGTGAAATTGCAGGGGAATGATCTATACACTAAAACTGATTTAGCTAATGTAATTTAGGTGACTACAGTGTTCCTTTAAGTTGATAGAACTTTCGGGAGGGGTGTTCAATAAATGTCACATAATTTGAATATACGTCACACTGAAACAAAATGTTATTTACTACCCCCACAACATACCTTAACTGTGAAGAGGTCAGAATTCTTGTCAGCGAGACATAATTGCCTTCCGCCATCCCTTGGCCTACGGTTGGTACAGTCTGCCTGCATGCCACATACAATGCACACGCCAACCAATGCAGGGCATTACCCTATAATAAATAAAATAAAAGAATTCTTGTAAAACTGGATGGCAGGAAGGAGACATTTTTCAAGTACATAATAAATTGAAGAAAAGAAAAAAAAATAATAATAAGGTATGAAACTCATATTCTCAAGTAATTTGCACAAAACCCCAATATAAACGTTGCAATGTTACAAGGTTACTAAGAGAATACGGATACTTTTATAGAACAAAGCAGATCCATGCTGGATCATGCTCATTAGCTGAGCACTCAACCAGTGAACATGGTCCTGCTGTGCTCTACAGAGCTTCTCATGCTGAAGATGACTATATGTGGGGTTGGGGCCCAGTGGGACCCAGGTCAATTGTCAAGCTGTGCTAAATCAGTTTGATATTTTACCGTGTGATGGCCCCAGGGCACTCGTGGCACTATAACCACTACAAGAGGCTGTAGTGGTTTTGGTACCACAAGTGTTCTTTTTTTTTTCATAAATAGTTTTTATTGAGACCAACAGCAGTTAACAGATAAGTGACAAAAGAGTGTTCTTTTAATAATAAAGATCTAGCTTTGGTTGCATAGTAAAATTCTGTCTGCATGTTGTGTTTTTTTGTTTTTGTATGCATTTGGTGAATGCTGTGTAAAATGCATTACAGACCTCAGATGCATTAGAGCAATCATTCAATTTACACAGCAAGATATTCTGATAATTGAATCCAAGCCCAGGATTATAAACAGTCTTTAAATAAGTAGAAGAAATAAAGAATATTTCAAGACTTCAACGTATATAGTATAAAGGATTGTTAATAGCACTTAAAGTGCAACTGTCACTTCTCTAAAAATTGACACCATTGAATAATACACTGAAAATCATCATTAAAAAAAATATATACCTATTAAAGATTTAGCAGTAGGCATCACAAACCAGTTCAGTCCTGACATAGCCATGGCACAGAGTGCAAATGAGCAGGAGAACAGTTCTTTTGGTTTTTCCTCTTCCACTATGGTCGATAGTAGAAAAGGACAACAATGTGTGACAGAGAGCCAAGACTGTACTGCTCAGTCCCAGGATAGATTGTTTTATAAAATTAAATAAAGAAATCCACCAGAGTTTTATGAAAACAACTCTTCTGGCGTCTGACACCGGGAGGGAGGTCTGTGGATGTTAGGAGAGAATTTGCAGTAATAGTATATTAGCAATTCCATACTGAATGCCTGCTGTGGAGTGTATTGCAATACCTGACTATTCACAATTGCTTATGATTCTGTTGTACCAAGTATCCTCTACTGGGGACCCTTCTATTTTAGGTTTAACCCTGAACACATATCCACCAATATATGTTTGCTGGTATAACCCTGTCTCAGCCAAGGCATAGATTGGACAAGGCCAGCTGGTTAAGTGCATCGGAAACTTGAGATGCTGAACTTCCCCCATAGAGATGCATTGATTCAATGCATCTCAATATGGAGATGCTGATTGGCTTGTTCCTATGGGAAAGCAGGTGTATAGGGGGAAGGGCCAGTGCAGACAGATCCACACAGTGCTGGAATGAAGGAAATTTTTATTAACTTTTAAGGAAGGCAGAGTGGAGGGCAAGTCACCTACATGGTGACTTTAACACTATAGTGTTCCTTTAAGGAAGAACATCCCTCTTGTACTGACTTTTTACGTTGGGGAAATAAAAGTATATTTCTAAGGACAGGGTCCTGAAATCAGTGGTATATTTACATATAGTGAAGTTAAATAACACAAGATCCGATAATTCCAGCTTTGTATTGAGAATTGTTTTGAATTCACTGTGGATTCAAAGTTAATTTCAAATTATAGTCCAAATTAGCAGAAGCAAAGCTGACATGGATACATTTTTTTTTTTAAATAACCCTGTAAAATATAGTAACGCATCACAACCTTTTGGTCAGCCTTGTCAAAAAGCTAATTTGGAGAAAATTCAGAATTTTATATTTACTGTTATTATATTTATTATAATTTTTTAACTTTATTTTATTTAATTTTTAAGGTAAAAAATGTTTACAGAAACAACACACAGGTGAGTAAATTAAAACATATTTAATATTAGTAATAAAGAATTACTAATTCAACTTTTTTTTTTTTTTTTTTTTTTTAGGAGGAATGCAACCTCAAAAGAGATTAAAACACATTGTTTTCTATTTGTACCCAAAGCATATCTGCCTTTGATGAGACGACCCCCAATGAAAACATTTAGATGCCATGCAGTGATTAAACCAATGCCATTTCCCAGGTAATAAACAGCTACTGAGACTGCATCAAACTACCACCCATGGCAACACTATACAAATATCTAGCATCAAGCCCTGTGATTAGCAACTGCATGGCAACAAGCTATTTCTGTAGTACCCAAGCCACAGCATCTCCATGTCCATAACCTGCTGTACCTAAACAGAATCAGGAGTCAAACAGGATTAGAATTACAGCTCGGGGTAGAACATCAATGTGGGGAGAGGGTATTCAATGTATGTACTGCTAAATTAGACTTGTTCAAAATCGTTTAAAGACAGCTAAATATGCCAGTTATTTGTCTATTCAACAAATTTTGGTAAATTGAGATAAGAATTGCATCTTTAAAGCCAAAATGGGAAAATTCTCCAACTCTTATTTTGATCTAAAAATTAAAATGTTCATTATTTACTGAATAACATCAATGTCAAAATAGACCAGCATAGTTTAGGCTAAACATCTAATGTCACAGATTAGCATTTTCTGTTAATTGGATATCACTTTTTCATTATAAGGTTAGTCAAATGATAAAAGATAAGAAAAGGGCATTCAAAACATTTAAATCAGAGGGGTAATATTCAGGTATTAATTTTGAACAAAAATGTAATTAGCAGGAATCAACATGGTTTAATGAAAGGCAAAACGTACCAAACTAACCTAATTGCATTCCATATAGAAGTTAGTAGAAATGTAGATCAGCGTGATCTAGTGGATGTGATCTACTTGGATTTTGCCAAGGCATTTGATAAAGTTGCACAAAATAGGTCACTAGCAAGACTGAAATCAGTTGGTTTACACAAAAAAATTAAATTAAAAAAAAAATGTATTCTTGGATAGAACACTGGCTTAAAGATAGAGTGCAGAGCGTACTTGTAAATAATTTTCTAATTGGACAAAAGTGATAAGGAGAGTGCCTCTGTGTTCTGTCCTGGGTCCACTTCTCTTTAATCTGTTTATAAATGACCTTTTCAGTTATTTGTGTAAACTGGTTGTTGATCCAAGGAGCTAACTGACTGCCATTATGGAGTCATTTGTGGCATAATTAGAAATGGCTACAATTGCTTTTTTTTAAACCTTATTTTGGATCAACGGCATAAAAGAATTAGTCAATAGGAGTACTGTTCCCATAGCTAAGAAGAACTCTTAATGAAATTGCTTTAAAAAAAAAAAATTAAAAAAAAATAAAATAAAAAAAAAGTTTTTTTTTTCTTTTTCTTTTTATACAAATTTTTAGACCCATCTTAGATGGACACTAAAAAAAATATGAGCTTTTTGTTTCCTGTGTGATACATGTGGGTATTTGTAAAAAAAAAACAACCCACAACACAAACAAAACAAAATCAACGCTGTATATGCTTGTTGAAATGCTTTAGGGTTTAAAAGCAAGTCTCCCTTTTTGTTTTCTAAATAAAAGTGCTTAGAGCCTTGGTGACAACTCCTCGCTATCAGACAGGTGAGAAAGTTGCCTTCCTTGCTTGCTTGGAGTGCATGCTAAAAGTGGAAGTGAAGGTTTGATGTTTCTCTTGTATCTCAATGCTATGGGAAATGTTAAAAAGTTATGTATTTTTAATGTTGGAGAGTTCCTTTAACAATTCAGACTTTAGTTACCCACCCTGTATTTGGGCATATAAAGCCAATTTCATTGCCTATTACTAATTTAGTGGATAAACCATCCATGTAGAAGATATAGTGGCACAACAGGTATGTGAACAAACCACGATGTTCTACAATGCATTTATCCATGAAACTAGTATGTTTTGTAAATTATGCTTTTATATAGGTCACAATTCGATAAATTATAAAATCTGGGAGACACATGCTTAACCCTTTGACAGCCAGAGGTGTGCCAAAGCAGTGTATATTATTTATTTATAAAATATTTTACCAGGATGGATACATTGAGATTTCTCTCCTTTTCAAGTATGTCCTAGATTGTGATGGAATATAAACAGGAGATTTTGTGCAAGGAGGAAAGAAAAACCTTAGCTTTGTTTTAACAAAGGCAGAAATACCCTTCACAGATTAACACTTTCAATTTCCATATCACCCCCTTCATATTACAGCTAGGTGTACCCAATCCATTGAAGGGTCAATGTGCAGTAGCATTCAAAGGGTTAAACCAGCAGTGGCCCTCAAACTGTGGCTCCCAGGTTTAATTTTTCTTTACAAATCTGGATCTTAAATAAAATCATCATTATATAAACACACACACACTTTTTCTTTTTTTACTTCTACAAATTGAAAAAGTGGGGGGTCTTTGGGTTATACTACACGACACATGAACCCTCCAGCTGCTAACAGCATGCAGGTAAGATGCTCATGGGGTGAATAATAATTATTTTGATAGAAAACATGCTCAGCAACATCTGGGGGGTCCCCAGTGTGGCTATCCCTGCTCTATATAAGGTCTGGACTCTCGCAGACTACATTTCCCGTGATGCTCTGTCATGGAAAAGGCTGCCTGAGCATCACGGGAAACGTAGTCCAAAACAGCTGTTTTTGCCAAAGGTGCCTTGAACCCCCAGAGAGCGGTTTCCATGCCCCCCAGTCACTCCCAGGTTATGATGACAGTGTGCTTACTGTACCTCCAGTGTGTAGTTTTGGCTGATCCTGCCATAGCTCTCCCAGGCCTCCCCCCGGGCCCTCTCGTCCATGTTAAGGCTGCTACAGAGCTCTTCATACCGGCTCCGGAGCTGCTCCTCTCCCTGCCGTCTCTCACCGTCCTCCTCCTCCTCCTCTTTGATCATCTTCAGGCCTCTCCGGTTCCCCCAGCAGCTTCCTTACCCAAGCCGAACACACTGTCCCTAATCTGACACTGCGCAGCCATTTAAATGGCAAAGCATCTGACAGCAAGCGCTTCGCGATTCACAAAGGCAGTTAGTGCGTTTTGCCACCGTAAACCTGTTCATCATCCGCGTACACTGCGGAGTTTACGTAGCGCCGCCCCCTCAGGGAGCAGAAGAGTTGACTAATAAAGGGGCGGCCTTGTGGCTTCCAAACGGGCCCTTCTCATTGAGCAGCTCCAGTACAGCCTGTCTGGGTATTGGCTGGGCTTCACTTCCTCATAGGCTCTCATTTTGAATGTGTTTGTTGTCTGCAGTGGGGTGTAAACAAAAACTCTCTTGCCAAGTTTTATTGTAAACCAGTGTTTGTCATTAATTTTAATGTACTTACTGTCTACAATGTAGGTTAACCAGGATCTGTGTGGGTAAAACACAGATATTTGCTTTTAAAAAAAAATAAATAAAAAAAATTAAATTTTAACACATCCAACACAGGGAAAAGTATTGTTTCTAAATACTGATATTTCATCTGAGATCTGGCTTGATGCTGCATTGAGAAATCCATTGATTATGCACAGCATGTGCTATAGCATTCTATTTAATTAATATATTTCATTCCTGTAGCATAGGAATTCTGTATACTGATGGGCAGTACTTTGCAAGTGCTACCACATAGTGTATGGAAGTGATATGTACAATGCAAACCTGGTGGAGCTGACAAAGTTATGCTGCAGAGCATACTCCATTATGTATAATAGTGGTACTGCTGAAAGACCTCATTGTATTCAAAATACATCAATAAAAATCAGTGCACTCACAAAATATACCGTTTAAAATATTTCAGTGCTCACCCATTTCAAGCATCTAATATGGGGATTTCGTTCACATTATGACCCACACTATACCCTCTAACATTTCAAATAGATAAAGAGGGACACTTTAGTTAGGGATATGGGTATGACCAGAGGCAAGACTGTTCTAAAAAACATTTTAGGTAACTTATAATAATTTATGCAACTAAAATGCAATTTATTGCAAAAACAATGTATCTTATTAACACAGACTGTTTTCTGAACACATTTATTGTAGTTTAAAGGGATACTATAGTAACCAGAACAACTTAATGTAGTTGTTCTTAGTGTGCCCATGCAGGTTTTTAAATGTAAACACTGCCTTTTCAGTGCCTAGTAACATTTCTAGCGCCAGTCACTCAGATGGCCACTAGAGGTGCTTACTGGGTTCTTCAGCATCTCCATGCTCTTCAGGAAGATGCGGATTGCCACGCATATGCAATAGCTTCCCAATGCTTTCCTATGGAAAAGCATTGGATTGGCTGAGATTGTCAAATTTGATGCTCTCAGCCAAGGAGTTGGGGCGAAACCAGCCACAGCAAGACCGGTGCTGTTAAAAAGGTGAGTAAAATCATCTTTTTAAATGTAGACAAGAAGGCCCAAAAACCTAAACTTGTTTTCAAAACCATTTAGGACCCTATAGTGCTCTTTTAAAGACACAATACTATGAATTATATTGCTGTGGAACGCCTTGATATACACAGACACACCAACAATATGGAGCTCCTAGAAAGAGGGACAGATGTATACCTTACTTCACTTATATTTCCCCCCCAGATAGTTCTGTTGAGTGCTTACCTTGATCTGATATCATGTTTATTGCACTACCTTTTTGATAATAGCTGATTTGTTTACTGCAGTTTTGGATGCTAAGGGGGAAGGCTATAAGCTTGTCATTGGTTCTCAAATGGCCAGATAACCAATTTAACAAAACCATTTGCTTTCAGAAAAGGCAGTACTGACGAAGACCAAAGCCTCACACGGTTACATTTAACCAATTGCAATAGGACAGTCCTGCATTAGATTGCATCAAACACTAACTTCCGTATCTATGGAAGCTAATTGGTAGATTGGTGATGTAATTTAACACCCATGGATACAGGGTGTCGGTCTTCACAATGTGAAAGGCTCATATGGACCATGTAAACATGCAGAAAGAATAAAGAGCTGCCAATTCAAGAGTGATGAATGGAGAGGGAGATGGGGGGTGGTAGTCAGGTGCCTCCAGAAAGCATCTCTTACTCAGAACTTTTTTTTATTATTGTTAGACACTTGGATGTTTATTTACGGTTCAAATAAGAATCCAAAAAACTAAATATATGCTAGAATAGCCTTGCTGTACCTATAGCAGATTTAGATTTTTTTTCATATCTTCTATTTTAGCCATGATATTGCCATTTGGATTTTAATTTGCTATAGTGTGGGGTTTAGTGAATCAACACCCTACTTTCCCATAATACACAAACCCATCCACTTTGGTGACAATCTGTAGGGAATCTTCATGGAAATGAAGGCGATCAGAATTAGGCAAAGGCACATATGGTAGGGATAGACTGTCTAATCCAAGAATTAGAATGATTTATGCTAGAACATACCAGCTTCCTTAAATCTACTCAAATAATATACCTGTACGAAGAATAGTAGATCCATTCTGAACAGTTTACCGATCAGGCAAGAGTTAGTGACACACTAGGTTACTATAACCACTTCATCTCATTGACATTGTTTATAGTGCTCAGAGTTCCCTTGCATTGTACTTCCATTCAGTAACAATTTACCATCAGTTTAACACTGAATAGGAGGCCATGGCCTCCAACAGCCCAGGCACCACTGGGGGTATGGTTAAAGAATAGAGATTACAATCTTTTTTTAGAAATACTAATTCATAACACAAACAGGTGACACTGATAAGATGAAAGTGGTCAGCTGACACCAACCATTGCTGCTGGGATGGGTTGATCGATACACACAATTCGCATTATAACATTAAAAACTATTTTACATTAAACAGGACGACTCCAGATATTATGACCAATGACTTGATGCGGTTACGGTGCCGCATCCCTTTAAGCCTTATAAGGGAGAAATATTATAAGACAGAACTTGGAAAATGTGTAAGGTTTGTAGAGAGTCGCATAACTTGAATGTAGCTAAGGCCTCTCCAAGTTAGAGAAGCCTAATATTCCATATTTAAAAGTAAAATGTTAAATTTATTGGCTTGGGACAGGACCTCTTTTCTAAGTTAGACAAGTACAAGCATGCACTAATTAATGTTATAATCAGGTAGGCCAATATTTAAATGAGAACGTCATGGTTAGAACAAGTGTCGTTTTGTTATACATTTTTGCATTTATTTTTTTTCTACTATATATATTGATTTCTTTTCTGCTAGAACATATGTCATTATGCCACTGGGTCAAAGAGGACTCTGGTCTTTGGGGTGACAGATAATGTCAGTAGCGTCTCTGGGAAGCAAGGTGGTATGTCAAATTGTGTGCATGCCTCTAATTTAATACTATAAAATTGCCCAAAAAACTGGCAAAGCTATACATAAGGGGTATTGATGTATCTAATATTTTGCCAGGAAATGGACTTCCTCAGAAACATATAGAATAACTTATTTAGTTGTAAGAATATCCATCTGCCTCTGCAGTGACTGCACACCGTTAAAGGTTTTCTCCAAACACCATAACCACCTCATTGTTTTTAAGTAGTCATGGTGCCTGGAGTCTGTATATGCACTGTTTCGCTATCAAACACTGCACACACAGGAGTTTATTCCATTTGGTGCTGGAGGTGTAAATCCATCTCCTGGGGATTCATCAACCAGCCTAAAAACAAGACTATACACACAATATAATTTGTTGGAAAGAAAGCGATCAGCTGACACTCTCAGCCAATTAATATCCGCCAGAATAGGCAACAGCAACTCTGTAGAAGCTGGATGCATGCTGCCGGCCATTAGAAGTGGTTATGACGCTTGGAGTGACCCTTTAAGGAGTGGTGCATGTCCTATTGATGGTTAAAAGTAATACTAGCTTCACTATAAAAGAAATGCCCATGTGATTATTACAGCCATCTTATCTTCTTTAGATGTTTTGGTATTTTATATGTTTTGTTCTTAACACATTTTGTTTTAACACTCAAGGGAGTGCTATTATTGCTTTATCATTTATTTGTCTGAACCACATTGATGTTTTCTACTTGAAATACCAAAAGAAGTCACAGACATTTGTTTCCGTACCTATGGAAACAATAAAACAACTTCTTCCCCACTGCTGTCACAATGCAAAGTCCCAGAAGATTACCACTGGTCCATTATAACGGCCATTTACCAAAAGGCTGTGTGTGTTTGGTCTACTGAAGAGAGATCTACATCACAGATAGTCAAAGAATATGTTTAATAAAAAATAATTAAACTTCCATTTGCTCTATAGAACATCATAGAAAGTAATTCAATAAATTACAAAGAACTTTTCTCTGAAGACGCATGTTTAACTACAAGCCGATTCAGACCACACAGAACACAACCAGCATATTGCAGGTATCTGGTAACATAACAGACACGCAGAATGATAGAAATACGAGTCATTACACATCTAACATCCTCATATTATCTATGATCACACAATTTCAAAGATATCGGGACAGACTAGACGGTAATCGGGTTATTTTTTTTCCAGGAAAGGTGCACCCTTGTAAAATTTGGCCTTCAGTTTACTGTTCTCCCCTTTAAAACATGGCTCTTTTTAAATCTATTTTTGTCTGGAATTTTGTTTAACCCCTTAAGGACTAAACTTCTGGAATAAAAGGGAATCATGACATGTCATGTGTCCTTAAGGGGTTAAAGACACATATTTGGTGAGATGATATATAAGCAGCAAACTTTACAAGTTTTCAATTTCTCCTATATTTTCCTACATTTCACCACAATTCACTTTTTGGTGAATCCAACTTCGGGTTATAAATTAAACTGGGGAAATGTGCAGCACAGATGAGATAGTTTGATTTGTTTTAAGCCAAAGTAACGAATATGAAAATAGCTCAGTTGGAATAAGTCTCCAAATTGGTGATTTTGCCATTAACGGTAGAATACAAATTGTAATTTTCTATATCCCTGATCAGTGAATTACTTTTATCTAGGTTTCTCTAACAAGGTTGTTTGAAGTGCAATGATATTACAAATTATCAGACATATTTAAAGCATTATATATACACACACTTCTCAAACCAGCAGTTTTATAAATTATTAAAAACTTTTGTTACTATGTAACCAAAATTAATACTAACTGCTGAGTTTAGGACCTTAAAGAAACAAATGAAAAGTAAAACATTTTGAGATCCAGAAAATTTTAAACTTCAAAATGTGGGGAGGCCACTTGTGGCTTGAAGGTGATTTTTGCTCAAACATTTTGCAGTTTTATTGATACTA